ACAGACCATGAAAGGCCAGGTACAGACCATGAAAGGCCAGGTACAGACCATGAAAGGCCAGGTACAGAAAGGCCAGGTACAGAAAGGCCAGGTACAGAAAGGCCAGGTACAGAAAGTCCAGGTACAGACCATGAAAGGCCAGGTACAGATAGAGCATGCAAGTCCAGATATAGCACGGGCTTGACGCTCTCAAATATAAAATATTGAGCCTAACAGAGACAGGGCATCACCAGAATAGAAAGGTATCTAGCAGATGCAAGAGGGAAGGGGGGGGGGGGGGTGTACACATTGCCAGCATTTAATGCACCGTACGGGTCAAAGGTTAGGACCAGCGTGTTTACCTGATTTCTGATGATCTACTGACCTACGCCTTCAGATCCCACCCCCACCACAGGCCAACTACACTGTCAAGGTCATACAAATCAGGCACTAACCGCCAGCAAAAAGATAGTAAATATTGACAACCCAACCACAAGACAACACTACGATCCAAGGTATGTTTTGAATAGTTTTAAAAGAAAAAGATACATTCTTCAATCTTAATACCGTATAAGCGCTAGATATTAAACCCTTTCAAAAACCACAAATCAAAATATAAACCGGAATCAAAACGTTAATGACGGTCGTAATTTAACATCACTTTGTGACATCCACAATAAAAAAATAATCCTAGACCGCACTCCCATTCCACTTAGGACCCCCTACCCCCATTAAAACTTGCTTACAATATACATTTAAACTTTACGGATACCATCATCTCTCATGACAATGCAAGATATAAATATTTTTTAAGCTAACTAGCATTTAGCTAACCATACAAATGTAAATTAAAAATTACTAAATTCAATAATAAAGAGGGATATAGGGCTGGTAAGTAGGTCACCAACCAGTTATATGGCTCATGCAGGTTTTATTGAGCAGTAGAACTGGTTGGTGACCTACTTACCAGCCCTATAACATGATTAAATACGAGCGGTAACTCTGTTGGTCAAACTGTTTCTCGCGGCTGAGTGATTTTCCCACGTTTTCTTTAACTTGCTTTCGCGTCTGTTTTTCCAATCAAATCTTGCGATCGAAATTTCGGGCACTTCCCAGTTAGCTAGCGCGCTGAAATTTTCAGGGAAGCTTTGTTTCCGATGACAATACAACATTCAATTGTTATTATTACTAAATTGATCCATGGAAAAATTTTATTGATCATTTTAGACCGCTATATATTTCTACAAAAAAAAAAACGTGGAGAAAAGGGGACATAACCCAGTAATTGTATTTGATGAAAACAAAGTTCGGTACTCTCCCTCTTTTGGCTTACTGAGTAGTGTTCACGTGGTGTTTGTGTACAAACAACCGGAACAACTGGTGGCCAGTATGGGGGAGACGATATGGTCGAGTGGTTGGGCACACGATTGCTAACCCACTCGACACGGGTTCAAGGCACGTGTTTTTTACGAGTTGTCTTCGTTTATCCCCAAAAAAAAGTGAATGCGAAAAGTTAAAATCGATAGCAAGATTTAAATGCAAACAAACAGACAAAGACTAAAAAGTAGAAAATAATTATCATTAAAAAAGTTAAAAAAAAACCCCACGTTTTCTGATTGAACTAAAAAGTAGAAAATAAATGCTATACATCACAATAATGCAAGCGATCACTCTACTATAAGCGATGAAAAACGTGGGGCGCCGTGATTTTCTTACAGTTTCTAATACTCTTGACTCTCTACAAGCTCCCTAATAAAAGTCAATAGTATTATCTAATCAATAGTAATATACCTTTTACTTCGGCGCCCCACGTTTTTCATCGCTTATAGTCGAGTGATCGCTTACATTATTGTGATGTATAGCATTTATTTTCTACTTTTTAGTTCAATCAGAAAACGTGGGTTTTTAAAAACTTTTTTAATGATAATTATTTTTCGTCTGAGCTTCGACCGCTAAAATGGAACAGTTACTTGTCTTTTAGAGATAGCCAGGTACGGGTCGGCTTTTAATGCATATTTTTTAAATTGTGGCCTATGTGGTGTTAACATTATTGAGAACGAATGACTATAAAGTGGAGAATAAAACAAAATTAAAAACCATTATAGTAATAGGTAAAGGCATTGAAAATAAGAAAACAAAAACTTCCTTTCTTTAATAAATTCATGGGTCGCAACATTTTTTGTAGGAGATCTAAATGGACCCTAAGCCTTTATTATAGACAAGTTTTTTTCTAGTGCAATTAAAGGGTTTTTACAATACAGGTTTTTCTATTTGTTTTATTTAAAATCCACCACTACCATTTATAAGTATATGTAGGCCTATGCATTTTGTATGCAGGTAAAATATACGCATGTAACTTATACGTATTTAATTGTTAAACTTAACGGGCAGGTGACCCCCCCCCCCCAAATCCCACACTTCGAGATTTTCCTACCATCCATTCCAGTTCTGTTTATATTACAAAAGGTGAAACGATTAAAATTATCACCAATACAGTCGGATAATCAAAAGAAAATCGAAATGCCTCGAAGTAAAAATATTGTGTACACAAATAGCTTAATTTAAATATTAATTTCTCTTGTAAAGTATAAGGCTAATCAGTAAACCACATGTAAAATATAATCAACAAAAACCGTTGTTTCTATGTGAACAATATTTCTCTGTACCCTCTCAGCGAACAGAACAGATGCGACAATCCTAACAAAATCAGTATCTAAAGTTAGTTACCTTTAAGCAGCTCTCCGTTAGAGTGAGTTAAAAACTCGCAGATGCTATTTATAGCACAGGGAAACCGCGAAAGATTAGTGAGAGCTTCTGGTATAATGAAGTCAAAAATCTAATGAGACGGCTGGGGGATTATAGTGACGTCAGATTATGGCTGCCATATGTAGCCTGTGACACGGAGCGAGATGACAAAACTTAGGCGTCCAATTCAGGCTGAGCTAGCCGCATAAGCTGAGCCCGCTAATGAGGAAATGCTCGGAGACAACATAAAACACAAGTCCACAATTTAGACAGACTTACTTTACCTAAGCCCACAATTTAGACAGACCTACATTATCTAAGTCCACAATTTAGACAGACTTACTTTACCTAAGCCCACAATTTAGACAGACCTACATTATCTAAGCCCACAATTTAGACAGACCTACTTTACCTAAGCCCAAAATTTAGACAGACCTACATTATCTAAGCCAACAATTTAGACAGACCTACTTTACCTAAGCCCACAATTTAGACAGACCTACATTATCTAAGCCCACAATTTAGACAGACCTACTTTACCTAAGCCCACAATTTAGACAGACCTACATTATCTAAGTCCACAATTTAGACAGACTTACATTACCTAAGCACCAAATTCAGACAGACCTACATTATCTAAGCCCACAATTTAAACAGACCTACTTTACCTAAGCCCACAATTTAGACAGACCTACATTACCTAAGCACAAAATTTAGACAGACTTACATTAACTAAGCCCAACATTTACACAGACCTACATTACCTAAGCCCAAAAAATCGAGTGACGCTAAGCCCTCAATAGACTTTATTGAGGCCAGACAACCCCGACGGCAACCTAATACCCAACTAAAGTTACCTCCACATCTTGATACAACCCCGACGTCTTCACTACAATCTAAATGTCTTCAATACGATCTAAATGTCTTCAATACAATCTAAATGTCTTCAATACAATCTAAATGTCTTCAATACAATCTACATGTCTCCAATACAATCTAAATGTCCCTAAACTACCCCCTTACCTCCCAAATAGGCTACATGTTAAATAGGCGCCATGCACCCCCCACCCTAAGCTAGCCTCTACTAATTAAAATTATGCAGCATTGCATAACGCGCGGCACCGTTTAATTAAGTGCTAATCTGGCCTTATTCCAGTACACCATTCTTTGCATTCAAAATAAATAAAAAATTAACTAGATGTCAAAAGTTTGTAATTAGACACGGTATAATCTGGTCTTGCGACATAATACAAAAAAAACTTAAATACGAATTAATTTATCATTCATCGCACTTGATTGCTAATTATAACATGTCTACATGCGTGTCTTGCGTGACCTCAGAAGTGTGTAATGTGTGACGTCAGACGTGTAATGCCCAGTTATGCACACATTTCTTCGGCTCATGCCCCAAACGCCCATAATTGGGCCACAATGCCCCCACCATATGCATTAGTAACAGAGCGTAGTACGTCACGAGCTCAGTCTCCGCCAACGATATATGAATGACAGCCATCAACCATGTATCGATGTTTAGGGTAACCAAAACACACACTTGTGGGGGAGGGTGTGATTTGTTGGGGACAGGACGAGTTATATGAACACACCATGAGGTTTGTCTTTAGCTTGCCAAACGATTGATTTGTTTGCACTCGACCCATCAGAACCCAAGCTTACAAGACATACAGAGGCGTAGCGACCCTTCAATTTGGCGCCCCCTCGGGAGCAAATTTTCGATTTGCATCCCCCCCTCAAACTTTTAATTTGCACCCCACCCCCCTCAAACTTTTTATTATGCAAAAATGCAGCTAAAATGAAATTTTAATTTATTTTTACAACCCATCTTGGCGCCCGGGGACATATGTACCCTCCTGCCCCCCCCCCCCCCATCGCTACGCCTCTGAAGACATATAGAGCCACTATTAGAGACGTTCTCTACATCTCATTAAAACCATAGCAGACCAAAACTACAATCACAGAGACTGTACTACTGACTGGACCTCAACCTTCACAGCCAGTTTTTCACTTCTCACAGCCAAACTTCACCCCTTACACACGACCCCACCCCTCACAGCTAGGGCCCCACCCTTCACACACATGACCTCACCCCTCACACACACGACCCCACCCTTCACACACATGACCTCACCCCTCACACACATGACCTCACAACACACAGAACCTGACTACTCACAGCAATGACCTCACACCAGGACCCAGCCCCTCACAGCCAAAACACCATTCACACACAGAACCTCACCCCTCACACCTACCCTCACCTGATCTGTTTGGGTCAGCTGTTCCAATAACTGTACACACGACTCTATGGGCGAGTACCATTCAGCTCTGGCTCGCTTGTCGTAAAAAGTCCACCGATTGGCTTACCCAAATGTAAGCTATTCGCTGATTGGCTTACCCAAATGTAAGCTATTCGCTGATTGGATCAAACTGTTTTTGAATGTGAAAAGCTAGAAAAGCTATCTACTGTATCCCTGAATAATTCTGAGTGTTAAATCATCCAGGAATTTTTAGTGAGCGAACAATCAACAATCCAGTCACAATGATTGTGTGCGGGCAATCAACAATCCAGGCACAACTTTAGGCGTAAAACTTCAAGACACACAAATGACTGAAAGTTGTCAATCACTAAAGCTTCTGGACACAGGTACCGAAATCTTTAAAGCTGAAACCTGTTGAGATAAGAAATATTTCAGATTAGCTGCGAGGAAAAAATTGAACAAACCTTATTAGACTGCTAGGGGAGCTAGTGGGGACATAGAAGTGAGTTGTTTAGAATTGAATAAACAACTGAACGTGCAACAGTTTGACGTGAATGTGCTCCTCGAGACACACGCTAGACAACAAAGTGCTACGTCTAATACAAACTAGACTTGAAAGCTAGACATGAAAGTTCTATATTAAATACAAACTAGCCTTGAATGTGCTACATTAAATACAAGTTAGCTATGAATGTACATTACATGCAAGCTAGATCTGAATGTGCTACATTACATGAAAGTGCTACATTAAATACATGCCTAAAGCCAGACCTTGTACCAAGAAGTAAACAAACAGACCTTGAAGATAAGACTGGCCAAAAATCAGCTGATTACAATTTCAATTGATTAAAAAACTGATGACGCAGTCTCATAAAAACCCACGAGATATTAAAGGGGTATTAGCATTGAGGACTCAGATAATATCGATTGTTGTGATAACAATGCTGGTATCAGCTACAACATGCTGCATGCATGCATTTCACTTGAAACAAAATTATAACGGGAAATTGGTTTTTACAAAACAGATAATTAATTCGGTCACTTTGACACGTGACCACGTGCCATGTACGCGACAGGTCGCACGCGCTAAGACCAATGATGAAGTTAGAAACAAACTACAGAGTCCAACAAGTGTAACTCTGATTAGCATACACTCGTCTCCGAATAGCAGGAGTAACTAGTGAGCCATTATCTGTCTGCACTACTTCTGGAATGTGGCTCAAGCGGTGGTTCTTTCAGACTTTTTTTCCGGGGGGGGGGGGGGGGGGGGGGTAGAGGACACTGTTAAAAGTACATATTTTCTAGATAATTTCCATTTCTTTCGGGGGGGGGGGTGATACTATCTTCGGATGGAAATAGTTTCAATTGAGAGGTAAGCATAGATGGCAGTGGCATATTGTGTGAAAGAGGGAACTGCTGGCGGCGTCCTATTGTGAATTTGGGAGGTGGTGGTCTAGGTGGTTTCTGTGTGTGGGTGGGTATTGTCGAGGTGGTTTATGTGTGTGGGTATTGTCTACGGGTTTATGTGTGTGGATGTGTATTGTCTACGGGTTTATGTGTGTGCAGTGTTTCTTCCAGACTTTTTTCTCCGGGGGGGCACTTGAAATCTTCGGGGGGGGGGGCGGTAAACTTTCTTCGGGGGGGCGGACACTGTTAAAAGTATATATTTTCTATATAAATTATATAAATTTCATTTCGTTCGAAACTCTGTGTGTGTGGATGTGTATTGTCTACGGGTTTATGTGTGTGGATGTGTATTGTCTACGGGTTTATGTGTGTGTGGCCTACGTGTGTGTTTACACACTCCTGTACGACTCACACACTCGCCAATGGTTGAGACATCAAACGGCGCACATTATTACCGTGTAAACAGCAGTCTACGCACACATTATAAAAATCAATGCGGTTTTAGCGAGTCAAATAAAATGTGAAATATCGGGGGTAAGGGCTTCTGTTACATCTTTCCGATTTATGTGGTGGGTGACGTCACCACCAGATGTGTCAACATCAGGTGCTCAAATCACGTGATAATTTAAGTTATTTATAGAAACACGACTCCGCCTTGTCCGCTAAATGGTACTAAGTTGCTTATATTATATGCTTTCCTAACAGCAAATGGAAATATCAAAGACCATTGAGAAATGTGCACCATGGATGTCGAGAAATGTGCACCATGGATGATGAGAAATATGCGCCATGGATTCAGAGAATTGTGCGCCACGGATGATGAGAAATGTGCACCACGGATGATGAGAAATGTGCGCCATGGATGATGAGAAATGTGCGCCATGGATGATGAGAAATGTGCACCAAGGATGTCGAGAAATGTGCACCTCGGATGATGAGAAATGGGCGCCATACATCCTTTATCTTCTTGAACAACTTTTGTGACGTTAACAACCCCAACTTTTGAACTAGAAAATGAGAGAAGAAATCAGGACAAAACTATACTATTGTGATATCACGGTGCGTCAACTTACTTCAAAAATTGGCCACATTCCTTGAAAAATCTGGCGAGTAAACTTTCTGCCAGAAAGGACCTTCCAAAAGAACAATCACCGTAACTTATTAAGCTTAAGCACACAAAGAAGAAAGTTTGTTTATTTAACAGATGAACAAAACGAATTTCACCCACACAATGCTAAAGTTATGGGCGTTGACAGCAGCAGCAAATATTTGACAGACAACCAATGAGAAGGGTTGGTCTATGTGGTGTGGGTGTGACTAAGATCTCATTTACCTAGGTTGGGGGGGGGGGGGGGGGCTTCTGAAGAAAGTCTACCCCCTCCGAACGAAATGGAATTTATATAGAAAATGTATACCTTTAAAAGTGTCCACACCCCCCCCCCCTCGAGAAAACACTAGGGGTATGCTGTAAAGAGGCTAGGGGAGAGGTGACAATTTCGTTTTGTGACGTCACATCGATACACGTCACCAAACTTTTTCAATTGAAACTAGTTGGGGTGCCCAATGTCTGTTATATAGGTGTGTAATATAACATAAGGGTAGTGGGTAGGTCAGAGTGCTATATAGTGTAATATAACACAAGGGTAGTGAGGTGGGTCAAAGTGTGTAACATAAGGGTAGTGGATGGGTCAGATCAAAGACAGCTATGGGTGTGTAAGAATGTAACACAGCTATGTGATACAGCCATGTAATGGGCCATAAAACCAGGGATAAAATCAATGAAAACCTGTCATGCACATCCCAACACAATCAGGTTATTAGAAAACAACAACTGTAATTTTCTAAAACCCAAATAAAGAATAAATAAGAACAATCACAGCAATAATTATAACAAAGCAACTTGTTATGCTAATTAAGACCAAAATCATTGTTAGGTTATTGTCAAGAAAATGTCGCATACTGTAATAAGATTAAAACTGCAGATATTTCCAATAACTGATAGTGTACAACAGGCAGGAAGGAATACATTTAGAATGTTTTTTGAAGTTTTTTTCTCCCGTCAAATTTCACATCCAGCCCAGTATTAAACACTCTATCATAGATCAATTCATCAACACATCTCAGCTAGAGATATCAAACTTGAAATTTTTCATTGTGACTGATTACAGAAAATGATTGTGCTTGATTGAGACAATGATTGCAGAAGCTGAAATGTCAGGATCATGTCAAGTGGAACTGATAAAGAACTATACAACTGATGTCAGTGAGGAGGGGGGGGGGGGAGAACCATACCAGTGGCATTTAGTGGCACTGATGAAGAACTGATAGAGAACCATACCACTGACATATGTTTATTAGAGGCCTACATTACTACTTTATTTTTCTACCCAACTTAATTAAGTCCCTGAATGTATCAAATGATCATTAATTGCCAGGATACTTCTAACTGATATTTACACCTTACAACAGCTGTACAATTTTCACAGTTCTATCACCTGGCTAAAGTTTTAGTAACTTGAACTAGAATTACTCCCATTGAGGATATCTGATGATAAAGCAAATTTTTTAATTTAAAAACTTTAAAAAAATCTAAATTATCTTTTTACTATATAGGATAGTAAAAAATGCTTGCATTATATCAAGGGAGAACACCGCCCCCCTTTCCACAACCTGGCACAAAACAGGTGTAAAATATACACCAAGCGTGTTTGGATAGATGAGCATTAAAGGTTTTTTGCTAGTATATAATGATCTCCCATAACTATCGCTACAATTTAAGTCACAACTCCCCTTCTAAAAAATGGTGCCACACTACAACTGACCCGGCATTTCCAAACATTTGATTTTTCTGTTTTGAAATAGTAATTTCTTTCTAAACAATATTCTGTGCTGGGGCAGCATTAGAAATATTTAAAATTTATGGATGACCCTTTGGCAATTTCTAAACCCTAGCTAGCAGGTATTCAGACAGGAAAAAGCCTTCATGACCATACCATGGGAAAATACACAACACAGTCTATAAATAAGTTCATTATCAATAAATAGGCTCATATGAAAAAAATATATACAGGCCTACCTTAAAAAGGTGTTACTGTTGGTTTTTATATGAACTCTACTTCATATACTGTACAGATTGATAAGTTACTTGACACTGTTAGGCTGTTAGTAGTATTGTTAACTTAGGTTTAGAAATAAGGGTTAGGGCCATGGTTGGTCTTGGGTTAATGTTGACATTAGCAAGTCATGCTGTCTTTGGTTGTTAACTACCAGTAATCTAACACCCATTATGATTGCATTAGAAGATTTCATTATTGTGGCATAACTTAAACTTTTAAGTATAACACTAAGTACTTTGCTAGAAGAAGTTAGTTGGGAGTTTATTAATAAAATAGTGTCAAGTTTCATATCCTCTTTGTTATAATCTTTAACTTTTTCACGGGGCAAAGCTAAACAAGAGCAGTCTTGTGTTTGAATCCCAGGTTCATGTCAGTAGAATGTCACTGAGTCCACCCAGCTCTGATGGGTAGTCTATATCACCATATGACTCCTGTTAATGAAAGTAAAGGGAGCCAGGCACTGAAACAGGTGAACTCTACTTCACCTGCCCCACAAACATTCAGGTTCGTAAGCCCTCTTCTAGGACCAGGATCTACCTTATTAATTAATAATTAGCTATCAATAAACAAATTATTAGCAAACAGTAGTAAAACTGGTAGATCTAGAAATTATAAAATTAAATTCTACTGAATTAGTGCTGAGACTATCATCAGACTTCTAGATCTAGATCTAGACTCTAGTCTAGATGTCTATTCTAATTCTAAATCTAGATCTAGATTCCTAGATTCTAGTTAGAAATCTAGTCTCTTAGTCTCTAGACTAGTCTAGACTCTATATCTAGAATCTAGATCTAGACTACATTATTTATAGATAAGTCAAAGTCTAGTCATGGATTCTACTAGATCTAGATCTAGATAGATCTAGAATTGATTAGATCTACTGAGATCTACTTTGACTTTATACTTAGGCCCTATTTAAAACTTATTGATTATTCTAAATCTCTAGAACTAACAAATTTATTAAAAATTACATTTAGACTCTACAATTCACAAACCAACAAAGCACAACCGTGACGGCATAAAATGCCATTATAACTAGATCTAGATCTAAATTAATTAATTAGCAGATTAGAGAGGCCTAGGCGCCTAATGCTAATAATTTAATAATGTAATTTGTAATGATGTTGGAGGCCCTATGATTTATTTAAATATTATCATAAAGTGCAATCACAATCCCTTGGAAAGAGAGTCAAATTATTCTAGAAAATCTATAATAATAGCAAACATTAAAAAACAGCTCACTTTTGTCACGTAGGCCAATGCTTCTCTCTCTCTCGCTCCGTCGACTAGCGGCGTCTTTTTATAGGTCAAATTTTACTAGGTCATACAATGGTGGAGTCAACATGTTTTGTTTACAACATGCGTCTTCCTCTCCTTATATTTACTTTCTAACAATGATTTTGATTAGTCAAGCTGGATGACCCGGAAGTAACAATATAACCAATTATAAATCCTGTTATATTTACCCCCGCGATATTTGAAGTTTGTATCGAGGCTGTAAAGATGGCGGAACAGAGGAGTACCCAAGAAAGTAAGAAAACATAATACATTTCGCACGCATAAATCCACGATCTGCCATTTTTATTACCTAAAATAATAATTTCTGTAACAAAATCAGTATTTATAAAACAAATGAATATTCTATTATTACTTAATTTTATTATTTATTGAGCCTCCTTACCTGATGAGTGAGTCGACGATGATTGGATAGCGGAGGATAGTGTGATTAGTAGATCAAGTCGATGACCATCTCACATCTGAGGGGTACTCAAGCCGTACCGTACTGTGGTCACTGTCCTGTGATTTCCTCTTCCCTTCTAAAGTTCTTAAGATCTATATCTACTATCTAGAGATCTTTTAACTATTTTAAAATTCGAAGTGACTACTCGGAAGACTACTCCACTTCTTAGTCGGCAAAAGATCAAAAGATAGCTCTGCGCATGCGCAGTGACCTATGCCATAGGTTATGGCCAGGGTTAGGGCTAGAATGAGGGGTAGGGCTAGGATTAGGGTTGGTGTTAGGTTTCTGCGGTTGTAAACACACACATTCGCAGTACTATCGAAAACATCGCCGCGAAGGCAAGTCGTAGTTTCTCTGCAATGCGTATCGCATGCGTATCTTATTCCGGCTAGCATTGGCCTTTAAAATTACTCTTTGAATTTTTACTGTAAGTGTTGATGTGCCGTGTAAAAATAAATGGCTTTGTAAAATTTAAAATAAAATAAATCAAATTTATCTGAGGGGTGGTACTGTCACAGACTTCACAGATCATGAGTACTGTGATACTCAACGGTACTGTCAACTCACTAACTAGTACTAGTGTCACATTCTTACTGAGTACTGGGTACTAACTTAGCTAAAAAATAAATTATCTAGGCCTAAGCTAGATTTGTAGATTTATTAGATTAGGGCCTACATCCTTCAATTCCTTCTGAGCACCGACAGATACTGCCAGATAGGCCTACTACTCCCCCAGTCAGCTGGGAATAAACACCAGATCTATCATAATAATAGTCATTACAGTGATGCTATAATAGAAATTGGCTATTCGGATCCAGGTCCTAATGGCCCTGGTCGCTCACGTTTTCTTGTCAGCAGGAGAAAAACTGACACGGTCTAGCTAGGATCACTGTGAAAGTGTGAGTTCACATTGGTTTAGATGTGAATAGTGCAGGTGTATTGGGTCTCCACTGGGATGAATAAAAGCTAAAGCCATTGTAGGATTGCACGGCTTTAAAAAAATAGATATCTTTAAAATGGTTTGGGACTACAGGTAGGACCTACATCAAAATAACTAGCACCTATAGGCTATGTATTTTAGTTTGCCTTTCCTGCACCAAATAACTTATGCTTGACTTCTTGAGTTAAAACTGTCAATATTCGTCTATTACATGTTATGTAATAACTTGCTCTCTACCCAGGTACTCCTATAAAATATCACACCCCTATACGAGGCGGTGCTGATACTAGTAGTAGTGAAGGTGACGTAGATCTTTTCTTTCTTCTCTAACTCCAGCTTACTGGCTAACGCTTCTCTTTATTCCTGGTGTTGGTTACATTTTAACATTGGTCTTAAGATGTTGTTACAATTCAGTGTAACACTAATAAATAATAAAAATACTAACTAAACTTTTTGGAGATTTTTAGTTTATTGTTTTAGGTACTTTTTGTTTTATCACAAACATTTTCATCATCTTTGCAAGGGCCATTATGCAATTCCAGTTTTATAGGTACGAAAATATAAGCAAAAATGTACACATAACCTTTCAACTTTCTTTAACTCAAAATAATTAGCCTAGGCCCTATCTCTTTATTATTTATTTTTGAAAATTCTGTAATTTGATACCATGACTGTTGGGGGATACTGGCCTTTTCTTAAAACTTTTGATAACTTTTGTAAGTAAATAGGTATGATGTAGGGGTGCAATAGAACATAATTACTTAAGAGAAAGTGACATGGCTTTTGTCACTATCAGTAGGATGTCCCTCAGCCTGCCCAGTTCTGCTAAATAACTATCATAAGCTGGTGAAAATAAAGGTCAGATGGTAGTGCTGACCACACTATCCCTTGATATGTAGAGGTCAGTCAAACTACTTCATCTGGTCAAAAGAGCACAGTGTGAAGAAACAATAATGCTTTAGGCCAACTGAAAATTAAAAAATAAAAAAAATTTTTTTTTACTTGGAAGGTTTTTGTAAGTAAAACTTTATAAATTGTAGCATTTCCAAACCACCTTTCCTGCTCTAAATGCCCAAATGTATACATTTTCAAAATGATGTGCTTGTGAAATATTCTACATTTACTTATTGTGAAATTATTCATTTTAATAAATGTATTATAGTATCAAAATAAACTAATTTAATAAATTGATAAAAGAGAAGATAAACATAGACTTTGTTACAGCATTCAGTATTTCAAGGTTGTACCCTATACAATTACTGTGAAATGGTATTTGTCTCCTAATGTACTGACATTACAAAAACTTGCTTTCAATTTAATCTTTCTTATACTCATCACTTTGGTTTTAGAACTAATACAAGACTTAAAGACTAAATATTTTAACTTAGGGGTCATCCATAAATGACGTCACACTCGTAGGGGGGAGGGGGGGTCCGTAATTTTGTGACGATGTGTGGGGAGGGGGGGGTCAGATGTTGCGACGTCACATTTTTGCATTATAAAAAAGCAATGTTAGAAAACGAATTTTAGACGTTATTTCGCGTTTTAGATAACTGTTTTAATAAATTGTAATAGTTTAGACAAGATTTTGAAAAAATATCAATGTTTTAAAAAAATTCAACTGCAATTTTGAGGGGGGTTGTAGGTTGAGGTGTGACGTCATTTTAGGGGGGGGGGTCTGGCTTTTTGTGACGAAGTGTGACGGACGGGAGGGGGGGAGGTAAAAATCGTCCAAAAAAGCGTGACGTCATTTATGGATGACCCCTTAGCACAAGTCTTTATTTCTGCTTGCTAACCTAATTCCCTTGTTCTCTGTGTGAATTTTAACATTTTTTAATCTTAAAATATTGCTGTTAAGACCAGTGTTAGCTTAAAGTGTTTTAAAATTGTTTATTTTTAACTTAAGCTCAGCTTAGCTTGTTGAGTCCCAGGTTTAGCAGTCCTAGCAGCTGACTTTACTCTTGCTGCATAGGACTTGGAATATAGCATTACATTTCTAGACTTGCTGAAGTAGGACTTGGAATATAGCATTACTTTTTGACAGAAGCGTTGTACTTATAATTTATCTGTTGGAAATGTTTTAACATTAGTTCTACAGTAGTTGTAGTTCGACCTGATCATTGCTTAGCCATCCGTTTACTATGCTACAATTTGTTTATATTAATGTCTTGTTCTATTTTCAGATGAATGGGTAGTGAAAGTAGTTTTGGTTGGGGAGGATACCTATGATTTGGAAACTGTTGCTAATGTTTGTATTGATAACTTATCATTTTATCTTTCAGCTTAAGTTCTTATATTAAATTTATTTTTCTCTCACAATGTAACATTATATACTTGAACTTAGATTAATTAAAGATAGTGTGTTTTTACTTAAAATTTCTTACCCATTTTATGATAATATACAATCTTATACATTTGTGTTAATAATAAATGATCAGCAACTTTAAATATTTTTTTCTCAAATTTTTCCTTAAATTTAAATTTAAAGTTTGTTGTATGTTTCCACAATTAGACACAAGTTAATTTTTTGTGCCCCTTTTATATTCAGAAAATCAAAGGCGTATCAGGCGTGTGTCGCTCTGAGACTGGCCTTGAACTTGTTAAAGATGCTGGCGAGTGTGAGATGACCTTTGTTGTGGCCAGCTTTGAGGATGAGTTGTTCACAAAACTCCACCGTGCCCAAGTGAGGATCATTGGCCCAACTGTGCTGAAGAGATGCGCCAGGGATGGCCTGGTAAGGCACTAGGGAGTGGGGCTTTATTCCTTTCAAACAAGGCACTTTCTGTCCCAAATGTGCTGGAGATCTGACAAAAAAGAATTGGTCCTTAAAAAAATGTGTTTGAGAATGCTACCATCTTGTAAATATATGGACTTTTTCTTGTAAATATATGGACTTTTTCTGTTGACATATCTGTTTATTCTGACATCTGCCATATCTGAATTTTATCTTCAGAATTTTGTGTGTGACATGAAGAAACATTTTCATTAAGTTATTGAGGGTTACATTGACAATAGTTTATATATATATAGTTTTTACTTACAATTTTAACATATAATACAATGAAAATGTTTAAGATGGATATTTTACACAAATGACGTCAGGGTGTTGACATGAGTTGTACTGACAACAACACAACAGCTAAAAAAAAGTTCTTTACTACTAAAATGCCAATTCTAAATCTAATCATAGTAGCTGCATTTCAAATCTATTGAACATGATGTTTTATTGTTGTATTTTCTGACCCTACAGCCCCTGCCTTTCAACACGCGGCCCCTGTACTGTTGCTCCATGCAGGATCTGGTCATCTGCTTTACTGGCTTTAAGAACAAAGCCAAGCTGGTGAGTGTCTTTAATAATTATTTGTTGTCGGTTACAGTAGTTACACAAAATTTTAATTTTTTAAAAGATGTCCATAAATCTTGTCATTCACACATTTTTTAAAACTGCTTGATTTATTATTTACGGCAATTTGAGGCTTTAAACAAAGAAAATTCTATTTGTTTATACTTGACCTTTGTAATTTGTTGTTCATGTTACTTTTGTCTTAGATTTGGTTGGTAAATCATGTTCATTACATGGGAGGAAGTGTGCGCAAAGATGAGGGAATTAAGATCACTCACATGGTGGCAAATATTACACATGGGCCAAAGTATAGGGTGAGCTGGCTACACAAAATCTATTGCTGACATTCTTTACTGATTGGTTTAGATAAATTTAATACAAGTTTTTAGTTTTGTACTTGTTTTTTTGGTACATGCTTAACTGTTGTTTTTAGTACTTGGTGTAATGATGTACTATTATTAACACTGATGTGGTTTTTATGTATTTGCTGTAATGATGTACCTCTGTACACTAATGTGGTTTTGTGTACTTTAATGATGGAGCACTGTACAGTGAAGTGGTTGTGTGTACTTGCTGTCATGATGTACCACTGTAAACTTATCTGATTGTTTTTGTACTTTCTAGTATGCTGTAAACATGGGCAAGCCCATCATGAGTGAGGACTGGATCAACAGGTTGTGGTCAGATCGTGATGATGTAGACTCCAGTGCTGATAACCCAAAACTAGTACGTTCATGCAAATCTCACTAATGAACATTTTAAATTTCAGTTCATATAGTATCTTTTTATTAATTGGCTTCGTTTGGGCAAAAAAAAATGTCTCCCTTAAATACCAGTGGGAACCTTTACTTCTCCTGTCCTATTGTGAGTCAGACCATGTACTTGATCTACTTACCTTGTTCTTGTTGCCCTCAGGTTGCTTACAGGATGAAACCATTCTACGAGTGCTGTCTGAGCTTTCTTGGCTTTTCTGCGGAAGAGCAAAGTCACATGGAGGAACTGACCATAGAGAACGGTGGCACTTTTTCTGAGCCTGGGGCACAGGACGTCACCCACTTGGTCATTGATGACCAGAACATTAAGGAGATCCCCCAGGATATTGCCCTACCTCCATTTGTGGTCAGGGGGGAGGTGAGACTTAGGATATGGCTTAATTTTTTGATAGTGTTGATGTGATGTAGTGTAAATAACTTCACAAAATAACTTAGTGTTGATGCAATGTAGTAATATGCTTTACAACCTCCTTTTGTAGTTTGAGGCGAGAAAGTCTTTATAAAAATTATAATATTATATAAAAAAATTTTGCTTGGTGTGATAATCCCATATTTTTGTTTCTTGTGCTAAACCTATGTTTCTATCCCCAGTGGTTCTGGGGTTGTATTCAAATGACAGCTTGTGCAGATGAACAGATTTACACATTTGAAAAGGTAAGCTGCTTGTCTAGGTATGGGATGTTAGCGCTTTTTTATGGTTTATCTAGACTTATAACTGGCTTCATTTTGGACTAGTACACTCTCATGACTGGCTTTATTCTAGACCTGTACACTGTTATGACTGGCTTTATTCTAGACCTGTACACTGTTATGACTGGCTTTATTCTAGTCCTGTACAGTTATAACTGGCTTTACTCTAGACCTGTACACTGTTATGCCTGGCTTTATTCTAGACCTGTACACTGTTATGACTGGCTTTATTCTAGTCCTGTACAGTTATAACTGGCTTTACTCTAGACCTGTACACTGTTATGCCTGGCTTTATTCTAGACCTGTACAGTTATAACTGGCTTTACTCTAGACCTGTACACTGTTATAACTGGCTTTACTCTAGACCTGTACACTGTTATGCCTGGCTTCATTCTAGACCTGTACAGTTATAACTGGCTTTACTCTAGACCTGTACACTGTTATGCCTGGCTTTATTCTAGAACTGTACACTGTTATGACTGGTTTTAGTCTAGACCTGTACACTGTTATGACGGCTTTAGTCTAGACCTGTACACTGTTATGACTGGCTTTAGTCTAGACCTGTACACTGTTTTGACTGGCTTTATTCTAGACCTGTACACTGTTATGACTGGCTTTAGTCTAGACCTGTACACTGTTATGACTGGCTTTATTCTAGACCTGTACACTGTTATGACTGGCTTTAGTCTAGACCTGTACACTGTTATGACTGGCTTTATTCTAGACCTGTACACTGTTATGACTGGCTTTATTCTAGACCTGTACACTGTTATGACTGGCTTTATTCTAGACCTGTACACTGTTATGACTGGCTTTATTCTAGACCTGTACACTGTTATGACTGGCTTTATTCTAGACCTGTACACTGTTATGTCTGGCTTTATTCTAGACCTGTACACTGTTATGACTGGCTTTATTCTAGACCTGTACACTGTTATGACTGGCTTTAGTCTAGACCTGTACACTGTTATGACTGGCTTTATTCTAGACCTGTACACTGTTATGACTGGCTTTATTCTAGACCTGTACACTGTTATGACTGGCTTTATTCTAGACCTGTACACTGTTATGACTGGCTTTAGTCTAGACCTGTACACTGTTATGACTGGCTTTTGTTATTTCCAGATGTCCACACCTGCCAGACACCATCGCACAAATCACTCAATGGCCAAGACTAGGAAAAGAAAAAGATTGCAGGAGTTGGTGGCCGAAACAGAAGGGTCGCCATTCATGGCATACAAGCGCCGGTCATCCTCGACAGACATTAGCGCCACGTCCATGAGTCCAGACTCATTTTTAGACGTGACGTACACACCCGACAAGTCCGACACTCTCTTAGGTGAGGTTTCTTGTACGGTGTAGCTTTCATTGAAGCCGTCCATGGGTGGTAGATAATATTTTACATTGTAGATTGAGTATGTTATTGAGGGTTAGAGAGACTAATACATGTGTGTACCTTTAGCAGAATTAAAACTTGAGAACTAAGAAGACTCAGGGTGGGATACATTGATGCATTTTTTCCTTGTAGCCTAATTATAACTTGACAACAAAGAAAACTCAGGGTGGGATACATTGATTCATGTTTTCCTTTAGCAGAATTGAAACTTGACAACAAAGAAGACTCAGCAGCCAAGTACAGCAAGAGAAGGATGGTTGTCATGGAGCTTCTACAGACAGAACAGAACTATGTTGGCATCCTACACACCATTCTCCATGTTAGTGCCCACTTGATTTATTCATTTTTGCAAATTCTGTGCTAGTATAATCCACTTCAACACATTGTTAGAGCTTTAATATTATTTATCAGCAGTGTGCAAGTATGTCAGTTAAGCTAATTAATATGAAGAGCAGCAGAATATTAATCAGAAGCAAATATTTTAACATTTTTAATACTTTTGAACGTTACTTGGACTTTTCAGATAATAAAAATTTTGTTCTGTCTTCTTCATCTTGTCTGCACCTGTTCCTCTGATATTAGCATATTTAAATCTGCAGGTCATTTTTTAAAATGTTTACATCTACTTTTACAGACATTTAAAGCCCAGATAGACAAACCAGACCAGTACAATGGACCTATCCTGGCCCCACAGGACACAAAAATTATTTTTGGCAACATCCCTCCAATCTATGAGGCCCACTGTAAGCTGCGAGACTCCTTGCTCTTCCTGGTAGAGCACTGGTCAGAGAACAACAGTGTAGGGGATTGTGTCTTAAACAGGGTAAGTTGTTTGTGTACAATGGTGTAGGGCAGGGGTTCCCAACCTTTTTTTACTCTAGAGCACATTCTAAAATATCGGTAGGGTGGCGGGCACCACCTATTTTAAATCGACAAACTCCTTCCAGAGGCGTAGCGACCCTTCCCATCACCCGGGGACAAAACTTTCGATTTGCACCTTCCCTCAAACTTTCGATTTGCACCCCCCTCCCCCGTCAAACTTTCAATTTCCATCCCCTTCAACCTTTCAATAATGTTTATGAAAAAAATTCTGTCTCTGTCGAATAGTGAGAGGCGGGCACATACGAATCGTTCGGCGGGCGCCATGGTGCCCGCGGGCACAGGGTTGGGAACCCCTGGTGTAGGGGATTGTGTCTTAAACAGGGTAGGTTGTTTGTGTACAATGGTGTAGGGGATTGTGTCTTAAACAGGGTAGGTTGTTTGTGTACAATGGTGTAGGGGATTGTGTCTTAAACAGGGTAGGTTGTTTGTGTACAATGGTGTAGGGGATTGTGTCTTAAACAGGGTAGGTTGTTTGTGTACAATGGTGTAGGGGATTGTGTCTTAAACAGGGTAGGTTGTTTGTGTACAATGGTGTAGGGGATTGTGTCTTAAACAGGGTAGGTTGTGTACTATGGTGTAGGGGATTGTGTCTTAAACAGGGTAGGTTGTTTGTGTACAATGGTGTAGGGGATTGTGTCTTAAACAGGGTAGGTTGTTTGTGTACAATGGTGTAGGGGGATTGTGTCTTAAACAGGGTAGATTGTTTGTGTACAATGTTGTAGGGGATTGTGTTAAACAGGGTAGGTTATTTGTGTACAATGGTGTAGGGGATTGTGTCTTAAACAGGGTAAGTTGTTTGTGTACAATGGCGTAGGGGGATTGTGTCTTAAACAGGGTAAGTTGTTTGTGTACAATGCTGTATGGGGATTGTGTCTTAAACAGGGTAAGTTGTTTGTGTACAATGGCGTAGGGGGATTGTGTCTTAAACAGGGTAAGTTGTTTGTGTACAATGGCGTAGGGGGATTGTGTCTTAAACAGGGTAAGTTGTTTGTGTACAATGGCGTAGGGGGATTGTGTCTTAAACAGGGTAAGTTGTTTGTGTACAATGGCGTAGGGGGATTGTGTCTTAAACAGGGTAAGTTGTTTGTGTACAATGGCGTAGGGGGATTGTGTCCTTAACATGGTAGGTAGCTTTTGGTGCTGTTTTATATTACCATTTTCAGTTAAATTTCCAATCTTTTCTCAATGAATTTTTTGTTTTATTCTTTCTTTAATGTTAAAAAAAATTTATGTCTCTTGTTCACAGGCTGAAGAATTAATGAAAGCATACCCTCCATTTGTCAATTTTTTTGAAAGCACTAAGGAAACAATACAAAAATGTGATCATTCAAACCCCAGGTTTCATGCTTTTCTAAAGGTGAGGCTGTTTTATTGTAACTTTTATAACTTTTCTTCTTTATTCCACTTTAAATTTATACCAAAACATAGTCTGTTATGCTTGAATAGTAACCAGGTCTGTACTACTAGACACCTAGAACTAATTCCTATGTTTTACTATCACCACAGTTGTGCCTTAGCAAACCAGAGTGTGGTCGTCAGTCGTTACAAGAGCTGTTGATTCGACCTATACAGCGGTTACCCAGTGTGGTTCTATTGTTACAAGGTAACAGCTACTGCACAGTTACATTAGCTGATTAATGATAGTGTAAGTTATAAATTGTTTGTATGGGAACTGTTGAAAATGTCTAACACTAAGGTGACCTCTTTAAAATTTTGTACAGACTTGTTGAAAAGGACAGACAGCAGCAACCCAGACAAGAAAAAACTGGAAGAAGCAATTGAAAAAGTTAAAAATATTACTACGTAAGTGGGGGTTTTTTTTATAATGACCCATGTCCAAGAATTTTAACATTGCTAATTTTGAGTTTTTTTTTAAATTTGCTATTTAGTTGCGTTCTTAATTAATTTGTTTGTAGTATTGTTGGTGGATATTTCTGTGTATATCTTGATGAACCTTATCATTTTTTTCTGCCACCAGGCATATAAATGAAGATAAAAGAAAAACAGAAAGTCAAGTTGTCATGTTTGATATTGTCAATGACATCGACAGTTGCCCAGTGAGTATCTCTTATTTACTTAGACATTTTCTATTGTATGTTACTGCCTAGGGCATGTTACTTTTACCTGACTAAAGCATTTTAGTGTTACATGACTAGAGCATGTTGCTGTGACATTGAAATGTCCGGAGCATAGTGTAATGTCATTTTATTTCTTCTCTCAGGCCACATTGTTATCTTCTAACCGCCATTTTGTCATGAAAATTGATGTGATGGAACTTTCTGGAAACCTTTCTTCTCGTGGTGACCCTTTGACTTTATTTGTGTTTTCTGATAGTGTTGAGGTAAGTAAAGTAATGTTACTAGCAAGACTTGTGTGTTTTCTTTCAGATTCTGTGTATAGAACCAGCTTGACCCTAGTTCATCAATATATTTTGATTCTGTATATGTTTTTCACTCAGATTCTGTGTAAACCTTGACCCTAATTCATCAATATAATTTGATTCTGTAAAAGTTTTACACTCAGATTGTTTGTGTATCTAGCGTGACACTGGTTTCTCACTGTTTTAGATCTGTAAATGTTTTACACCCAGATTGTTTGTGTAACTAGCTTGACGCTTGTTTCTCACTGTTTTAGATCTGTAAATGTTTTACACCCAGATTCTGTGTATCTAGCTTGACACTGGTTTCTCACTGTTTTAGATCTGTAAATGTTTTACACCCAGATTCAGTTTGTGTATCTAGCTTGACGCTTGTTTCTCACTGTTTTAGATCTGTAAATGTTTTACACCCAGATTCTGTTTGTGTATCTAGCTTGACACTGGTCTCTCACTGTTTTAGATCTGTAAAAGAAGGATGAAGATCCTGGGATCCAATTCACGAAGTCCTGCCGTAACACACAAGGCACCACAAAAGGCATACAAGCATTTAGAGATGATCAGTATGACATCAATCAAGAGGGTCCTGGATGTTGAGGAAACAGAAGGTTAGACATTGTCTACAGACAGTGAAGACAAAATGTTTTTAATTATTATTATAAAATACAAGTTTCCTATCTAGGTATCTTTTAAGAAAAAGAAAAAACCATATTTTAAAGGTTTTTAGAATGTGAATAATCTTTTGGTGATCTTACCATACATGATCTCAATGTGGCCAAAACATTTATTCTAGTCTAAATGTTATATTTGCTTGCAGATTGCCAGATGGCCTTTGGGTTAATATGTCGAGACAGTGGACAGGCTAAAGAAAAGCTGTACAGTTTCACCCTGGCCATGGAGGAAATGTCAAAAGCCGAAGTTTTGACCAGCATATGTAAAAACCTGGCCATAGTTCTATGTCGACCTGATATAGTAAGTTCATTGCCCTTTATGTTATCTGCTTTTCAGACAACTCTTATTTAAAGTCCATTTTTTATTTATCTATTTAGTTACCATTACCTTCCAAATATGGGAGGCATAATTTAACCACGTTAAGGAATTGGGTTAGTCACTGTCTACCCTGGTTCTACAGTCTTGTATTAACCGTTTTAAGGAAATGGGTTAGTCCCTGTCTACCCTGGTACTAAAGCATTGTATTAACCGTTTTAAGGAATTGGGTTAGTCACTGTCTACCCTGGTACTAAAGCATTGTATTAACCGTTTTAAGGAATTGGGTTAGTCACTGTCTACCCTGGTACTAAAGCATTGTATTAACCGTTTTAAGGAATTGGGTTAGTCACTGTCTACTTTGGTACTAAGTTCTTGTATTGATCTGCTGTAGGAAACTTTTCTAGCCAAAGTTAATGGAGAGGAACTCAACATCAGCACCAAGGATCTGCACAAGGGAAACAAAGCTCTCAAGTAGGTGCCATTGGTTGAACTACACATTGCTCTAATCAGCTAATGTACATTAACATGTACTTAGTGTTTGTGACAGATTAACAGTTATTAACATTTCAAATGATGATTTGTTGTAGAGATTTACAGTTATTAACATTTCAAATTATGTTTGACAGATTTACACAGTTATTAACATTTCAAATTATGTTTGACAGATTTACACAGTTATTAACATTTCAAATGATGATATGTTTGACAGATTTACACTGTTGTTGACATTTCAAATAATGATTTGTTTGACAGATTTAGTTATTAACATTTCAAATGATGATATGTTCAACAGATTTACACGTAGAGTGAGCAGAGCCTTCTCCTTCAACAAAACACCCAGCAAGTTGAAGAGGGCGGTGTCTGGAATGGTCCATGGCTTGAGCCCCTTTGTCAAAGACCCAAAGCAATTCAACAAAGGAGGTGTTAGGAAACTAGCTAGTACATTTGATTTAACGGTAACTACTAATTTGTTTTTAATGGTCCATGGCTGGAGTCCCTTTGTCAAAGACCCAAAGCAATTCAACAAAGGAGGTGTTAGGAAACTAGCTAGTACATTTGATTTAACGGTAACTAGTAATTTGTTTTTAATGGTCCATGGCTGGAGTCCCTTTGTCAAAGACCCAAAGCAATTCAACAAAGGAGGTGTTAGGAAACTAGCTAGTACATTTGATTTAACGGTAACTAGTAATTTGTTTTTAATGGTCCATGGCTGGAGTCCCTTTGTCAAAGACCCAAAGCAATTCAACAAAGGAGGTGTTAGGAAACTAGCTAGTACATTTGATTTAACGGTAACTAATACATTTTTTTTAGTTTCAACAAAGGTGTTAGGAAATTAGCTAGTACATTTGATTTAACGGTAAATAATTTGGGTTAGTTTCAACAAAAGAGGTGTTAGGAAACTAGCTAGTACATTTGATTTAACGGTAACTAGTAATTTGTTTTAGTTTCAACAAAGGTGTTATGAAATTAGCTAGTACATTTGATTTAACGGTAACTAATAATTTGGGTACACTTTATGTTCTAACATTTAGATTGTCTTTATCCACATGTATTTACATTTTGCTCCAAGATGAACTTAGATTATATCTAGTCTGAATGATGGTATTGGCTCGTAAAGAAGTAGTTTTGCTCTATATTAAATGTTAAACATATCGTCATCTTTCCAGGAAGTGCGTGATGATGATAGTGATACCATGAGTCTCGGGGCTTATTCGTTACAGGTTGGTCGTATTTTAATTTACAATCAGCAATTAACTTACTTTGCCAGATATGGTTTTGGTTGTACAGGTAAAGTTTTTGCTAGACCAAGTAGGATGTTAACAATAATATAGTCTTTTCTGACTCCTTAATGTCAATAGTATACAATTGATGTTCATGAAATGGTTGTTATATGTTCATGTGTTTGACAGGAGGAAGGGTCACCTGGAGGATCTATGATAGGCTCCCCACAGCGCCTGGCCACATCTAGTCACATCTTTATCACTCCGTCACGCTCTGCAGTCAAAGCCGTCAAGACCCCGTCCAAGTGGGCTACCATGGGCCCCAGTTCAGCTAGCAAGACAAAATATTTGTGATGTCAATCTTTTTCAAGAATACCCCTGGTGTAGCAATCACACTTTGCCACCCATCCAAGAATGGAACTATAACAAAGCTAATTTAGCAGTTAACTGTCTTGTTGAAGAACCAGCTGGATTATCAAATGTTAAGGCTAGTAGTTGTTTGTTTATCTAGTAACCTGCATGTGTGATTTCACTATAGCCAAATAGATATTTTCTATTCTGGAGAACCAGCTACCACATTTATCAGATAGTGTTGTGGATGTTTTGATTTTCTCATTTAATCATTACCCTGTTTACAAATGGATGGGCAATCATCTGCATGCATCTAGTAGTTGATGTTCACATCATCAAGCATCAGATGTGCACATCATCTTTCTAAGCTGTATGGTCTGTACACCTTTACTTATTTGAAACACGTTTTTTTTTATTATGACTAGTGAACTTTTTCCCTAATTTCAAATATGCTAATGTCATTAATATAGCTAATTGTGGCATGTAATAAAATATATTAATTACTGAAATAGATCTGTATTTTATTTTGAGGATTCAAGACATTTGTGAGACAAACCAGTCATTGATATTTATCATATTGTTTCCATAAATGTTTGATTTTAGTTCATTTCTACTTAGAATTGTTGAAGGTTTTAGTTTTAACTAAATGATCTGTGTCACTATTGTAACTGTGATCTGTATCACTTGTTGCTGATGACCTTTATGATGTGTACCACTGTGCCTTTACCTCATACTTTCCTAGCCACATTTCTCATTCATTCCATCCCTCCTCACCATATGGGTGCTGTGTTGTTATTTAATTTATGAATGGACATCTTGTCTTAACACTTGCATGTTAGGTATTTGTAAATGTTTTCAATTCTATTTTGGCACATTTTATTCACAAATATTATGGCATCATTTTCCTATCTGTTGTAAACATGTTTCTGCATTGTGTTTTTGTTTTAAATATTAGATACTTGTGTGTATTGGTTGTTTGATGTGTGTGATACTGTCTGTATCTAGTCTGAATAAGTTGTTTGTGTGATGCTTGATTGTTTGTGAATCTGGCAGTACATTTGTTTAAATCAACATTACATGATCAACACTGTTTTATCTCTTTAAAAATTTGTTCTTTAAAAGTCTGTTGGAGAGGTGATTAAGCTTTAATCTATATTGAATATAATGATCTATTTAATTTATTAATAACATTACAAGCTTACCTATACATAATCAATAATAAACGTCCCTCCCCTCCCCCCTCCATTGTTTACTGTGAATGTGCTTGTTATTTTACCAGCTTTCTGCTGCTTCTACTTGCCTTAATCTTCACTTTGTGACTTGACCTGTATACAATCTAGTTCATTTTTGGTGTACATAAGGTGTTGTGAGGTTAAATGGTTGTGTTTGTACATATGCTAGTTTATTTTTCTCCAGTAAAAAAAAAATCAAACTTTGTACATAATAAATATAAATGTAAATACACATAAGCTTAACATACCTTCATATCAAGTTATGTACATATTCATTATTTTTGTCTTTAATTATAATAGTAATTTAAATTTTTGTAAGAAAAATTATTCATTTTATTATAAGGTTATAAATGTTGTACCTGTATATATAATAACCCCTGACCTGTAACCCCTGACCTCAGGAGTTTCATGTACTCTCCAAAAGCTGGAATATTACATTATCAGAATAGAAACAATTCTACTGGTGTTATATTTTATCTGTGTAATTGTGCATTGTTAAACAGTGGGTCACCTCAATGGTTCTACTTGTAGTAATTAGCTCAGTGGGTCACCTCAATGGTTCTACCTGTAGTAATTAGTTCAGTGGGTCGCCTCAATGGTTCTACTTGTAGTAATTAGCTCAGTGGGTCACCTCAATGGTTCTACCTGTAGTAATTAGCTCAGTGGGTACACCTGTGGACAAGGGGAGTTAGAACTCATCCAAAGATCCCCCAGAATAAGACAACTCCCTTACATCATACTGGCTGATGAGGTTTATCATAGATCACCTGACTTGCCTTTGGAGAGTATGCAGGTTTAGACAGCAATAAAGTGATATTCCGAACGTTGAAAGGATGAAGTACTGATTTATTTATTTTTTTATGGTTGAACAAAGTAGTCTATTTTGTCACCTTTAGTCTTCTTCACAACAATGTCCATATGAATAGCAATCATTCATTGGCTAAAGATTCACAACAAAACTAGTATGAATAGCAGTCATTCATTGGCTAAAGATTCACAACAAAACTAGTATGAATAGCAATCATTCATTGGCTAAAGATTCACAATAAAACTAGTATGAATAGCAATCATTCATTTGCCAAAGATCATTCACAACAAAACTAACATGAATAGCAATCATTAATTGGCCAAACAATAATAAATTGTTTCTTCCATTTATAGCAAAGTTATCTTTGATTAATACTAGCCATTCAGAGGTAGACATGATAATAAATTTAAATCAGCTTCAGATTTTAATAACTGACATGAAAAAAATGAATACTTGCCATTTAGTGATAGTAGAATAGTAAATTATGTTTCTCGCAATGATGAGCAGAACATTAATATGAAAATTCACTATTGTGTGATGATTAAAAAAAATATACATCAGTTTCATATATTTATAATGTGTGTAACAGTTTATACAGTTCTACTGCCACTGATACAATACTTTGACACAGTAAGCTTTACCACACTGGCTAGGTCACGCTGAGATCATTTATATCAAGTGCATGCCCTTATTGATTGGTCATTTATATCAATTGTATGCCCTTGTTGGTCATTCATGCTGCAGAAATAAAATTACCTTCAGACAAAAATTGTGATAAAAATTATGGAGTAGAGATTATCTGATTTCCAATAATTAAACATAAATTTTAAAATGTGTTCAATTTCTAGAAAGTAGTACTACCACACAAAATAATGTCAAGCAGTATAAATTTCAAAATATACATTTTTTAATGAATAAAATTATTTGAATAGAACATTTATATCACAATAAAGTATAACACATGTGGCTGAAAAAAAAATAGCAAAAAAAATAGATGAAAAAATTCAACAATATGAACTATTGACTCCCTTAGTTAAATGTGCCAATGAGGACATCATATCTAGCAGTTTAACCATGGAAGAAAATTTGATTAAAAACCATTAATTAAAGTAATAAAATAAAGTTTATGACCTACTTTTAAATTTATGAAATAAAAATAGGAATCAGGAATGTGAGGTGGATTTTTCCAGAATTAAATAAGTTTCCATAATGTTGCCCCATTGTGTTTTTTAAAAAGATAACTTTTGTTTGCTAAACTGGTCTGTGAACCTTTAAACTTTAATAAATAGGCTTTGAATGCAAAAGTAGGACGTCTCACTTCCTTACCCCCTCTTCGCAACCCCCCCCCCTCCCCTAAAATGACGCCACAATAAAGATGACCACCTTTTTATTCGTTCTTGTTTCCAAAGGGAATGTACTCAAACTAAGATGATTTTGCCGAAGACATTAATTGAGTTATTTCCCTTCCCCCAGTAACAAACTTTTCGAAGTTGGGATCAATACATTGATCAACTGTCCTAACAATTTTTTAAATTTAAAAAAAAAATGCATTAAAGTTCTAAAATTCAGTTTAACATATGCCTTTTAAAAATGCGAAAGTGTAACGTCACAAGTTCTCTCCTCCACACTTAAAGTCCAACACTCTCCCTATAAGATTACGAAGTCTTTCTTTTATTACTCCTATTTATATAATTTAAAAAAAAGAGATCTTTGGAAAACTAAGTCATACTCATAAGACCTGTATTAACGCCAAAACTATATAAAAACACGTGACTATATAATTTGGGTGCAGAAATTTCGACCCTGAGTCATGAGTTGAAAGTTCAAGGTAATCTGACGTCACGGATGGGTTGTTGGTCAGCTTGGCTTGAATCCATTCATCCACAACTTCCTCCAATATATCCAAGGGTACATAGCCGATTTTAAGGACTTGGTTGTGGAACTCTCTTATGTCAAAGTCTGAGCCTAAAAATAATATAAAATGTGAGTTTGGCTAACATTTTAGATAGATATTTTTAAACGAATTTGGATGTGTACTACTATAGGTCACCAACCAGTTCTACGGCTCAATAAAACCTGCATGAGCCATAGAACTGTTTATTGACCTACTTACCAGCCCAATAGATTTTAATAAAGATCTATTTTAGGCTAATTTTTAAAATTTTCGTAAAATCATTTTAAATGTAGTCAAAAAATGGTTAACAACTTTTTTTCTCACCTAGTAGTCGCTCAGCTTTTTGTCGTAAGTTTCGTATTTTGATTTCTCCGATTTTGTACGAGCAGGCTTGACCTGGCGCCGTAATGTATCGGTCCACTTCCGCTGCTATCTGGCTCGAAGGGAAGTCACTGTAATCGCTCAAAAACTGAATGGCTTTATCACGGGACCAGCTTGATAAACAAAAACAACAATAATGAGCATTGATGATGGCATAGATAGGCTAAATTTGTTTTTAGTTTAAAAGCTTATAATGAATATAAATTGTGGCTTAGTCTATTAAATTTAATACCTAAGTTAAAACATTTTTAGTAGTGTAGATTAGACTAATTGTCTACTTTACGTTTCAAAACAAAGAATGTGATGAATATTGAAGAAAAATACCCGTATGCATGAATGCCCGTATCAACGACCAGACGACAAGCTCTGAAGATCTCAGACACGTAGCGACCAAATCTGTAAGTAAGAGAAACATTCAGCCATATTGGTGTACACTTCTACTTTTATAGTGGCGTTACAAACATATTATAGAGACTAATGCCTACAAATACATGTAAACCTATTATTCGGTGTTTCTTTCAGACATCTCTCGGGGGTGGGGCCCAGCTCTCCCTATGGAGCATATACTTTTTTTATACACTGCTCCCTTTCCTGAACAAAAATGTCTGAAAGAAACCCTGCTAATGTTTGCAATATGTGGGACTTACACCCATACACGACCAGATCCCGAGTGAAACCACTGCAGACGATTCTATCCTGTCACGTGAGATGTGACTTCGATATGCAGTTAGACCAGTCCATGGGGGGGGGGGGGGAGTAAATTTCCAGGAGGGGCGGTCAATGGTTGAGGTAAATAATTTGAATATAAATTCTATCTCGTTCGTAGAGGGGGGGGGGGATGGGACGGTCAATTGTTGAAGTATATATTTTGAACATAAATTTGATTTCGGGGGGGGGGGGGGGGGTGCTGAATAAACTCAGTTTCTCCCCCGAAGTAAATGTCTGAAAGAAACCTTGTCTGATGGGCACTAAACTAATGACGACACCAACTCAGCTGGACTCACAGTTCGTACGGATCTCTGTAGAGGTCAAGTTCGTGACCCAGAAACTCGGCGTACAGGGCCCAGCCCTCGGAGTAGGCCGTGTAGACGGGGAAGTGGAAGGGCACGCTGTAGAGCCGGCCGTTCATTGGCTGGGCCCGGTAGGCGGGAATTTCAAACAGCTGCGAGTACAAATCTTGGAAGTGGTGGCCGGGGTATGCCTCGTGCAGGGTCAAGGGCATCATGGTGAACGTTGACCTGGTCAAAATACAATAGGGCTGGTAAGTAGGTCACCAACCAGTTATATTGCTCATGCAGGTTTTATTGAGCCTTAGAACTGGTTGGTGACCTACTTACCAGCCATATTGAAGTCGTTTTTTTTTGTGTGTTAAAGTTTACAGTTTTTAAAAAAAATCATTGTTAAAATTTTGGCCATTTAAAAAAAAAAGTTATTGAAATTTTTGACTCCCTTTTTGATAATGTTTTGTCGGTTGCCTAATTTGGTTCAAGGAATTATGACGAGTAATTGAGTGATTGCATTCTTAGGTTCAAGAGCTATTTTCTGTTTTGATTGGATGCTGGGATCACGAAATAGAGTTTGACTGGATGTTAAATTAGCCTAATCTTTTCGATTGGATGTTAGATTCACGTGTTTGATTGGACGTTAAGACCAAGTGTTTGATTGGACGATAGAGTCACGTGTCCTTACCTTTTCTCCGGCTCCTTTAAGTTGACGTAGAACTGACCTAAGCCGTAGGATCCCCAGGGTCCGTCCCGCTCCACTGGGATCACCCTGTGGAGAGAGAGAGTGGGGGGGGGGGTCACATTAAGAATCTGATATGTTTCTGCTATTGAGTCACAGGCGACATATCAAGTCAGCTCAATGTTACAGTTATTACTTGTGTTGTAAATGTAAACACAGGGCACTTGAATAGTTTTCACAGGGGAAATAGCTTTTATTCACGAATGAGACACTTTTGGATAAATAGTTATATAATTAAAACAATAGTTCTCAGGTAAATGATCGTTTATTTTATATGACACGAGCCGACCCGCAGCGTATCATACGCCGCTATTTAGTTGCTTTTTTTTCTACTTTTCAGTAATTTATAATTTGTGAATTCGACAGTACCAATGCTGTCACTGAAAATATTTGCTTAAAAACACTAACCCCCCCCCCCCCCCCCCCTCCCCCCACGTGAAAGCAGCCTCCTCTTAGTTACCTCCTCTAAGTTTAAAATCGTTTCAAACTAAATTATCTGCCCCTAATAGCCGTCACCAAACCCGTCTCTATGATTGTAAAATGTAAACAGCGTGAACAACAGCTCACCAGACCATGTGAGGGGGTGGGGGGGGGGGTGGTAGCGATAGAGAGGGGACTGTAAGGCGCACTTGCAGCTTGTTTTCTAACGGCTCCCAGAAGAGAATTATATATATAGACGAGCCGACCCGCGGCATATCATACGTCGCTATTTATAGTTGTTTTATTTTCTACTTTTCAGTAATTCATAATTTGTGAATTCGACAGTACCAATGCTGCCACTGAAAATATTTGCTTTAAAACACTATCAGTAGGTCGTTAAGGACAATACTAACGCCACCCTCCTTTCCCCCAACCCCTACCCTACACCCCCCCCCCCCTCGTGAAAGCAGCCTCCTCTTAGTTACCTCCTCTAAGTTTAAAATAGTTTCAAACTAAATTATCTGCCCCTAATAGCCATCACTAAACCCGGCTCTACGAATGTAAACATTTAGCGTGAACCACAGCTCACCAGACCATGTGAGGGTGGGGGTGGTTGGGAGCGCGCTTACAGCTTGTTTTCTAGCGTCTCCAAGAAGAGAATTATATATATAGATACTTTCTATATAGTTCGTTTCAGTTGTATTTCTTTCACCCCCCCCCCCCCCCCTCACTGGTAATCAGCTGTTAGCTAACAGTGGCACACCCATCGTTATGGTTAGTGCTAGGCTTTATGTCCCACACTATTGAGGGGGGGGGTCACACCCATCGTTATGGTTAGTGCTAAGCCTTATGTCCCACACTATTGAGGGGGGGGGGGGTCACACCCATCGTTATGGTTAGTGCTAGGCCTTATGTCGCACACTATTGAGGGGGGGGGTGGTGGTCACACAATGTTATGGTTGAAGGCCAGATGTAGATCAAAATACACCAGCAGAAACTATTCACACCATGACCCCGTCTGTGTTGCCTTGGGCCAGACCGCGGGTTATTACACTAGTTGTTTACATGTGGGACTATTATCAAAATGGTTGTCAACGCCACTGTACCACGGAGATACGCCGCTGTACCATGGAGATACGCCGCTGTACTCGGCAGTTTTATACACAAATATTTACGTCATTAAGTCTGCCAGACCTTTATGCTCGCTTCTGCTTTATAATTTTTAAAATATGGCGAAATTATTTTTAAACAAAAAAAAAAAAAGTTTATTTCTTTAAAAAAATAAGCTGGATATTTATTATGAGCTCTATTTTTTTTTGTTTAGCGGCATCTTTGATATGTTTTTTTTAAAGATATCTTAATATCATCGTTATAAAATAATGAATTTTCTTTACAAAAATCTTCGATTAGATTGGGAAAAATAATCTTGGTTAATCTTAGATCAAAGAGAGAGAGAGAGAGAGAATTTTTTTTTTTTAATTATAATTTTTTTTTGTTGAGATGGGAGAAAGTTCGGCATATGTCTCATGAGAGGTACCAGCCTATGGGAGGTGGGAGAAAGTTTGATTTAGATGGGAGAAAGTTTGATTTAGATGGGAAAAAGTTTGGCATATGTCTGATTTAGATGGGAAAAAGTTTGGCATATGTCTGATTTAGATGGGAGAAAGTTTGGTTAATGTCTGATTTAGATGGAAGAAAGTTTGGCTAATGTCTGATTTAGATGGAAGAAAGTTTGGTTAATGTCTGATTTAGATGGGGGAAAGTTCGGCTAATGTCTGATTTAGATGGGAGAAAGTTTGGTTAATGTCTGATTTAGATGGGAGAAAGTTTGGTTTAGATGGGAGAAAGTTTGGTTAATGTCTGATTTAGATGGGGGAAAGTTTGGTTTAGATGGGAGAAAGTTTGGTTAATGTCTGATTTAGATGGGAGAAAGTTCAGCTAATGTCTGATTTAGATGGGAGGAAGTTGGGCTATGTCTTATGGGAGGAGTCAGCCTATGGGAGATGTGACGTAACACTCACTTGATGGGCGCTATGGTCACGTTCTTAAACAAAGTGCTGAGTCTTGGAATAATGAGGTCGTCTAGTAGAGATCTGTACTTGTGTAGAATTTCTTCCTGTAACGGTTGGGGGAAGGGGTGGGGTGGGGGGGGGGGGTGGACAACAAGGTTCATTGGTCGTATATAAATCTATTGAATTTATGAACATTAATCTGTCGTTTTGTACAATACAATTTGTTCGTACACATTTACATGTATATAAATTTTAATATATATAAAGCACATATATACGTCCATCCATCCATATATACGTATGTAAATGCAAACTTAGCATGGATACATATTATAATAGCTACACACCCACAATCATTAAACACAAACTCTCCACATACGCACACCATACCGGAGTAATACAGTTGAAATATGCCAGCATGGGCAAGGGGAAAGCAACTCACTTTGGTGTGGTTGTAGAACTGTGGGATAGATTCAATGTGCCGGAAGAAAGACTTGAGCTCCCCCTCAAAGCCGACTGATCTCATCACCTGCCGAGTACAAACAAGATTCGAACCCGCTCTCTTTGACAGATACACACCACAGCTACATCTAGGCCACACTCATACACCGTATATTGTTTAATTCATCGATTCTTAAAAACAAGAGCTCAACCGAAAATAAGCTCAGTCAAACAAAAGCTCAATCCAACATGTCCTCAGTCAAATATAAGCTCAGTCAAACATGGACTCAGTCAAACATGAGTTTAGCCAAACATGAGCTCAGTCAAACAGGAGCTTATTGGAATATTTTGGTTCAACCCAAAAATAAGCGCAACCCGTTAGACCAAGACATAGGCTGAGTTTCTTTCAGACATCTCTGGGGGTGAGGATGAGGGGGCTGATCCCCCTTCCCACTCCCGGAGCACGCCGTCCCCCTCCCTCCGTGTTAAAAACTATAATTTATATTTATAAAACCCACTTTAACCAGTCTTCACCCACCCGGAAATTTTAAGTGACCCCCGGTAGAAAATGTCTGAAAGAAACTCTGGACATAGGCTGCTTCAAAACCCAAGCTTTGCTAAGAAATGTCTATTTAAAATAGAACTGAGCCCAAACAAGATATAAACCCATACAGAACCTTAGTCCAAACCAGACATAAGCACATACAAACCTTAGTCCCTATCGTTTCTTTTGATAATCTTCCTCACACGATCGCAAACCCCACCCCCTCCTCTATGTGACCCACCTCTTTAATCTTCTCCATTATTCTATGTGACCCACCTCTTTAATCTTCTCCATTATTCTATGTGACCCACCTCTTTAATCTTCTCCATTATTCTATGTGACCCACCTCTTTAATCTTCTCCATTATTCTATGTGACCCACCTCTTTAATCTTCTCCATTATTCTATGTGACCCACCTCTTCTATGTGACCCACCTCTTTAATCTTCTCCATTATTCTATGTGACCCACCTCTTTAATCTTCTCCATTATTCTATGTGACCCACCTCTTTAATCTTCTCCATTATTCTATGTGACCCACCTCTTCTATGTGACCCACCTCTTTAATCTTCTCCATTATTCTATGTGACCCACCTCTTCTATGTGACCCACCACTTTAATCTTCTCCATTATTCTATGTGACCCACCTCTTTAATCTTCTCCATTATTCTATGTGACCCACCTCTTCTATGTGACCCACCACTTTAATCTTCTCCATTATTCTATGTGACCCACCTCTTTAATCTTCTCCATTATTCTATGTGACCCACCTCTTCTATGTGACCCACCACTTTAATCTTCTCCATTATTCTATGTGACCCACCTCTTTAATCTTCTCCATTATTCTATGTGACCCACCTCTTTAATCTTCTCCATTATTCTATGTGACCCACCTCTTCTATGTGACCCACCACTTTAATCTTCTCCATTATTCTATGTGACCCACCTCTTTAATCTTCTCCATTATTCTATGTGACCCACCTCTTCTATGTGACCCACCACTTTAATCTTCTCCATTATTCTATGTGACCCACCTCTTTAATCTTCTCCATTATTCTATGTGACCCACCTCTTTAATCTTCTCCATTATTCTATGTGACCCACCTCTTCTATGTGACCCACCTCTTTAATCTTCTCCATTATTCTATGTGACCCACCTCTTTAATCTTCTCCATTATTCTATGTGACCCACCTCTTTAATCTTCTCCATTATTCTATGTGACCCACCTCTTCTATGTGACCCACCTCTTTAATCTTCTCCATTATTCTATGTGACCCACCTCTTCTATGTGACCCACCTCTTTAATCTTCTCCATTATTCTATGTGACCCACCTCTTTAATCTTCTCCATTATTCTATGTGACCCACCTCTTTAATCTTCTCCATTATTCTATGTGACCCACCTCTTTAATCTTCTCCATTATTCTATGTGACCCACCTCTTCTATGTGACCCACCTCTTCTATGTGACCCACCTCTTTAATCTTCTCCATTATTCTATGTGACCCACCTCTTTAATCTTCTCCATTATTCTATGTGACCCACCTCTTTAATCTTCTCCATTATTCTATGTGACCCACCTCTTTAATCTTCTCCATTATTCTATGTGACCCACCTCTTTAATCTTCTCCATTATTCTATGTGACCCACCTCTTTAATCTTCTCCATTATTCTATGTGACCCACCTCTTCTATGTGACCCACCTCTTCTATGTGACCCACCTCTTTAATCTTCTCCATTATTCTATGTGACCCACCTCTTTAATCTTCTCCATTATTCTATGTGACCCACCTCTTTAATCTTCTCCATTATTCTATGTGACCCACCTCTTTAATCTTCTCCATTATTCTATGTGACCCACCTCTTTAATCTTCTCCATTATTCTATGTGACCCACCTCTTTAATCTTCTCCATTATTCTATGTGACCCACCTCTTTAATCTTCTCCATTATTCTATGTGACCCACCTCTTTAATCTTCTCCATTATTCTATGTGACCCACCTCTTTAATCTTCTCCATTATTCTATGTGACCCACCTCTTTAATCTTCTCCATTATTCTATGTGACCCACCTCTTCTATGTGACCCACCACTTTAATCTTCTCCATTATTCTATGTGACCCACCTCTTCTATGTGACCCACCTCTTTAATCTTCTCCATTATTCTATGTGACCCACCTCCTCTATGTGACCCACCTCTTTAATCTTCTCCATTATTCTATGTGACCCACCTCCTCTATGTGACCCACCTCTTTAATCTTCTCCATTATTCTATGTGACCCACCTCCTCTATGTGACCCACCTCTTTAATCTTCTTTATTATTCTATGTGACCCACCTCCTCTATGTGACCCACCTCTTTAATCTTCTCCATTATTCTATGTGACCCACCTCCTCTATGTGACCCACCTCTTTAATCTTCTCCATTATTCTATGTGACCCACCTCCTCTATGTGACCCACCTCTTTAATCTTCTCCATTATTCTATGTGACCCACCTCCTCTATGTGACCCACCTCTTTAATCTTCTTTATTATTCTATGTGACCCACCTCCTCTATGTGACCCACCTCTTTAATCTTCTCCATTATTCTATGTGACCCACCTCCTCTATGTGACCCACCTCTTTAATCTTCTCCATTATTCTATGTGACCCACCTCCTCTATGTGACCCACCTCTTCTATGTGACCCACCTCTTCTATGTGACCCACCTCTTCTATGTGACCCACCTCTTCTATGTGACCCACCTCTTCATGTGACCCACCTCTTCATGTGACCCACCTCTTCATGTGACCCACCTCTTCTATGTGACCCACCTCTTCTATGTGACCCACCTCTTCTATGTGACCCACCACTTTAATCTTCTCCATTATTCTATGTGACCCACCTCCTCTATGTGACCCACCTCTTCATGTGACCCACCTCTTCATGTGACCCACCTCTTCTATGTGACCCACCTCTTCTATGTGACCCACCTCTTCTATGTGACCCACCTCCTCTATGTGACCCACCTCTTCTATGTGACCCACCTCTTCTATGTGACCCACCTCCTCTATGTGACCCACCTCTTCTATGTGACCCACCTCTTCTATGTGACCCACCTCTTCTATGTGACCCACCTCTTCTATGTGACCCACCTCTTCTATGTGACCCACCTCCTCTATGTGACCCACCTCTTCTATGTGACCCACCTCTTCTATGTGACCCACCTCCTCTATGTGACCCACCTCTTCTATGTGACCCACCTCTTCTATGTGACCCACCTCTTCTATGTGACCCACCTCTTCTATGTGACCCACCTCTTCATGTGACCCACCTCTTTAATCTTCTCCATTATTCTAGAGACCTCCTTCAGCCCCAGGTCAAAGACCTCCGCGGCCGTGGCGTTGTAGCCCAGGTACCACTTTAGGCAGGCCTCGTAGTACTGCAGCCCGTGGGGGAGGGAGTGCACCCCCGGGCTTTCTCTTGTGGAGTCGGAGTAGTCCTAGGGAAAATATATACATGGTCATTTGAAGGAATGTGTAGTTTATATATATATATATATATATATATATATATATATATATATATATATATATATATATATATATATATATATATATAATGCCATCTATGCCACCTCATTTATGAACTAGACTTTCTTAAGAACTGAATGAGACAAATTTTATGAATCTGATTTGAAAACGCCCCTTTTAAAGAAAGAATAAAAATGTTGATTTAAAATTTGCGTGTAAAAAATATTAGTTTGAAACTTAAAAAGAAATGGCTTTTAAAAAAAAGATTGATTGATGGTGAAACAAATTAGGGCTGAGTTTCGGGAGATTATGCTAAAAAACTCGGTCGTCGGTTACGATACCATCGTCTGAACCCTAACGACTGTAAATGGCAGCAGCAAGTCACAGCACCCGCCATCTTGAGTTGATGTCCTCTCGCATTGAGTTTCACGACTTCCGGTGACAGGAAACGATTCTATTGGCCGTCCCGACGGACGGGGTTTACTCGGGTCCTCTTTTCATTCCGGCCTGATTTCCCGGGGGACGCGCGGAGATCTGGCCTCTCCACGCGGCGTCCGGCCGAGAGGTAACGAAACTATCCCGACGTCTGCTCAAATTATGCTGTTTGGGCTTATACAACTTCTGCTCCAGCTTTACAAATATTGGATTATAATATTCGATTTTTTTCGGCGCGGAGCTGTCTTCTCTACATAAGACGTTGGGGAGGGGTGGGGTAAAGATGTCTTTGGGGGGGGGGGGGGTTACGATCTACGATTGCCTGGTAGTTGGAGTAAGGCCAACTCTAATTTTAACTTTGGGCGAGCTTGCCACTGATAAAGTTATCACAGGCCACATGATCAGTCGAATTATCAGCCTTTTGGTTATCACAGGCCACATGAGCAGTCGAATTATCAGCCTTTTGGTTATCACAGGCCCCATGAGCAGTCGAATTGTCAGCCTTTTGGTTATCACAGGACACATGAGCAGTCGAATTATCAGCCTTTTGGTTATCACAGGCTACATGATCAGTCGAATTATCAGCCTTTTGGTTATCACAGGCCACATGAGCAGTCGAATTATCAGCCTTTTGGTTATCACAGGCCACATGAGCAGTCGAATTATCAGCCTTTTGGTTATCACAGGGCACATGAGCAGTCGAATTATCAGCCTTTTATTTATCACAGGCTACATGATCAGTCGAATTATCAGCCTTTTGGTTATCACAGGTCACATGAGCAGTCGAATTATCAGCCTTTTGGTTATCACAGGCCACATGAGCAGTCGAATTATCAGCCTTTTGGTTATCACAGGCTACATGATCAGTCGAATTATCAGCCTTTTGGTTATCACAGGCCACATGAGCAGTCGAATTATCAGCCTTTTGGTTATCACAGGCCACATGAGCAGTCGAATTATCAGCCTTTTGGTTATCACAGGGCACATGAGCAGTCGAATTATCAGCCTTTTATTTATCACAGGCTACATGATCAGTCGAATTATCAGCCTTTTGGTTATCACAGGTCACATGAGCAGTCGAATTATCAGCCTTTTGGTTATCACAGGCCACATGAGCAGTCGAATTATCGGCCTTTTGGTTATCACAGGCTACACGATCAGTCGAATTATCAGCCTTTTGGTTATCACAGGCCACATGAGCAGTCGAATTATCAGCCTTTTGGTTATCACAGGCCACATGAGCAGTCGAATTATCAGCCTTTTGGTTATCACAGGGCACATGAGCAGTCGAATTATCAGCCTTTTATTTATCACAGGCTACATGATCAGTCGAATTATCAGCCTTTTGGTTATCACAGGTCACATGAGCAGTCGAATTATCAGCCTTTTGGTTATCACAGGCCACATGAGCAGTCGAATTATCAGCCTTTTGGTTATCACAGGCTACATGATCAGTCGAATTATCAGCCTTTTGATTATCACAGGCCACATGAGCAGTCGAATTATCAGCCTTATGGTTATCGGACGCTTGGAACGGATGTGAGTAGGGTAGAGGAAGTGGCGTTACTTGGCCAACTTAATACTGATCAGATGGGTCTAATTATTACTGGCCAGTATGTCTATTTAGGTGTTTGTTTCAGCCTTTTTTTTCTCCGGAGATGAGGTGGGGGACTTGAAATTTTCGTGGGGGGGGGGGGGGGGGGGACGACGACGACACTGATAAAAGTATATATTTTCTATATGCCTGAAATAAAACTGGTCTAATTTATAGGCGCTGATCAGAATAACAAAACATAGCTAATTACTTTAATTATTGGAGTTAATTTGACTAGATTTTTTTAAATCGAACATTTAACTACAGCAAGGGGTCGGCGTGGTCGAGTCGGTAAAGCTCATGGTTGCTAAACCGAAAAGTCTCGAGTTCGAACCCTCGGGCAGATGAGGCTCGTTAGCTGGGGACAGCCACTCTTCTAGGAGAGACAACTCCAAAATTAAACAACTGCTGCTTTGTAGTTTGTTCTTGGTTGGACAAAGGCTATGGAAGCAAATCCAAAAATAAAAAGCAGGCTGAAATCGGAGTCAATGGCCTCAATGGCGCATAACCAGTTGACACGTAACGCTTAATTGTGTTGGAGGCGTGGTCGAGTCGGCAAAAAGCTCATGGTTGATAAATTCGAACAGTCTCGAGTTCAACCCCACTGGCAGATAAATCTCGATCCCCTTCAACACTAATAATTAAGAACGAAGAAGAAGAAGAAGAACTACTGCAAACCTAACAAAGCATTCAAACAAACGTGAATCTCTGACGTAGCATTAAGACTTGTGTTAAAGACGTAATAATTCCACCCTAACAGGTATATTCAGGTAATTTTTTTACTCCGTGTCTAATGTCTCCACACCCCCCCCCACCCAGGTTTCTCTCATTTCCTGCTCTGGGACAAACTACCCCGCCCCCTTTCAAGAACACGTTTTATCTCGTGACGCGAGACCTGCGGCGGTGTTTTGAACACGTGCCTCTTCCTTGTCACGTGGTTCAGATTTGTGGAGCGCGCGCATGCGTACTTACGTGGTGCATGAACTGTTTCATCCTGTTCAATGCCTGGGTGACGCGAGGCATCAGGCTCTCGGCCTTGTCCCACATGTGGAGCCTAGAACAGGAAGGTGAAAAGTGATTCGTGGGACCCCTGGCTGTTCTGAGACCCCTGTTAATTATCTAAGGCCCATGTTAATTATCTAAGACCCCTGTCAACTGTGTGAGACCCCGTCACATTTATGAGACCTTAGTGAGAGCAATGTCAATGTTGTAACACAAATGCAACGTTGCTAGTTCGGGTGTCACCCGGTGCGGCACCTAGAGGTGAACGTCGGTGTCACCCCCCCCCCCCCCCCCTCGCTTTGATAGGTCTAAACTTTTCACGGATAATAGTAACGATGTATATCTATAATTGGTTATTAATACAGCTTGGTGCAGCATTGGTTTCTCCATAGGTAGCAAGTTTATTTCATGGTGTCACCCCCACCCCCAACAATTTTTATCATAAAAAACAATTTAAATCTAATTAATCATTAATTTAAATGGAATGATCTTTTTTTTCTTTTCTAAATTTATGTTGCTATTTTTGCCTTGGTGTCACCCCCCCCCCCCCTAAATGGTGTCTCCTGGTAGCCACACGCCCCCTAGTTGCCCCTCCCCTAATGGTATCCCTACCCGATTAGCAGCCACATCCCCACTAGTAGCCACACCCCCACTGTAGCCCCACCCACCGGTGGACACACACCACTGCTAGCATACACCCCCCCCCCCCCCCCGATGGTAACCACACCCCTCTAGTAGCCACTCCACACCTCTAGCCAACGACCAATTCTACCCTTTACCTAATATACCATAACCGTAAACGACGACAGTGCCAGCAGGATTCGATCCTGGACTTACTTTGTGGTATCCGGGAAGTTAACAACGCTCAAGCTGCGTTGGAAGGGCATCAGGAAATAGAGGTCCACATTCCAGCTGCTCATCATATCTGGGACCCGGTTCTGTGGGCATTAGGGTAACATCTTAGACACGAGGGTAACATCTTAGACACGAGGGTAACATCTTAGACACGAGGGTAACATCTTAGACACGAGGGTAACATCTTAGACACGAGGGTAACATCTTAGACACGAGGGTAACATCTTAGACACGAGGGTAACATCTTAGACACGAGGGTAACATCTTAGACACGAGGGTAACATCTTAGACACGAGGGTAACATCTTAGACACGAGGGTAACATCTTAGACACGAGGGTAACATCTTAGACACGAGGGTAACATCTTAGACACGAGGGTAACATCTTAGACACGAGGGTAACATCTTAGGGTAACATCTTAGACACGAGGGTAACATCTTAGGGTAACATCTTAGACATGAGGGTAACATCTTAGGGTAACATCTTAGGGTAACATCTTAGGGTAACATCTTAGGGTAACATCTTAGACACGAGGGTAACATCTTAGACACGAGGATAACATCTTAGACACGAGGGTAACATCTTAGACACGAGGGTAACATCTTAGACACTAGGGTACATCTTAGACACGAGGGTTACATCTTAGACACTAGGGCAACATATTAGACACGAGGGTATCATATTTATCATGATGGTAACATCTTTGACACCAGTGTAATATTTTAGACCCACTAGCGTGGGGTGAATATTACGGTATTGATTTACCACTGGACCAATAAATTTTAGTAGTGTAGATCACGTGGTTCCCATATAGCCCATAACAAAAAACTTACTATAGAGACGAGGTGACTGGATCTCTTGAGCTTGATTGCTCGCTTCATTAACATAATCTGCTCCTCAATCTGTGAGACCAATCATTAGTCAATCAGACAGGCAATCATTAAACAATTAGTCAATCAATGGACAATTATACAGGCAATCAAGAGCATATAGCCAATTAAACAACATTTATTATACAAATTTATATTTAGATTAGTCACACGGCAACCTATTTCGTTAAATCCCCCCCCCCCCTTTCCCCGAAAATCAACCATTTACATTTTTTAAATCACTTAGAAAAGGAACTATGAAATCACTCAGATAATCAATGATTAAATCCTTTTAAAAATCATTCGATCAATCAAATGAATTAAATCTAACACAATCAGCTAATACGACGGTTTTAAATACTCAAAGTAAATAAACCCAAAAACTGTGTTTTCATTGGTTATCATTTGGCCACTTGTTCCCTTTTTTTCTGACTGTCGTTTGCTTATATTTACATCCACCATACGTCTTAGATTATTTAATCTGTTCGTATTCACCAGCTTTCCCCATCCACGCGTTAACTGTCAATCAATCGAATCTATCTTTTGTTTACGCCCATTTTCTATTTGTCACCACCCATTACTTCGTCTTTTCTCCATCAACCGAGTCTGTCCTTCCGTCCCGTAATAATCCATCTCCGCCCATTTCCCATTTGTCACCACCCACTTCTCAGATGAATGTCCTTTAGTTTATTCGCCATCCCATTCCCAATCACATTTCGACTATTTTGTATTCGCATCCGCCCAATTTCCATTTGTCACCACCCACTCACACGTCAGGCTCTAATGTGTCACACCACATCCAGTTCTCATGACACGCCCACGTTTATTTATACCCTCCCATCCCCACCCTTCAATCCCGGGTAACCCACCTCAGGATAACCCCTCAAAGTACCGTTTCTAGCTTGGTGTGACCCCCACCCCTCACCCCACACACCCCACCCCACACATCCCGTCTTTAGCTTGTGTGACCCCCCACCCCCCCACACACCCCACCCCCACGTGACCCACCTGGTCAGGCATGGACGCCAGACGCTTGAGGTACCTCTCAAAGTCCTGGACCGTCTCCAGCTTGGTATAGCCTGGCCACTGTGGCCCGTTGGCCAGACCTTCTAGAAAGTTCACCGAGTTCAACGCGCCGTACCTGTGGATAGACAGCAGAAACCATCAATATGGCGGTTCAAATAGCCTCCCCCCCCCCCCACACAAACTATTAATATGGCGGCTCACAATTAGCCCCCCCCCCCCCGATACATATGTAAACTTTCAATATGACTGCTCTCAGTTTGTCAATCCCCTCTCCTCCACACAAACAAACTATCAATATGGGGGCTCACAATTAGCCAACCCCCACATAAACCTTTAATATTGTGGTTTCACCAGATATTGTAAGCCTGTATGTGCCTGGCTCTAGTCATCCCCTCCCCACACACACACACCAACCCCCACATAAACCTTTAATATTGTGGTTTCACCAGATATTGTAAGCCTGTATGTGCCTGGCTCTAGTCATCCCCTCCCCACACACACACACCAACCCCCACATAAACCTTTAATATTGTGGTTTCACCAGATATTGTAAGCCTGTATGTGCCTGGCTCTAGTCACCCCCTCCCCACACACACACACCAATCCCCACATAAACCTTTAATGTTGTGGTTTCACCAGATATTGTAAGCCTGTATGTGCCTGGCTCTAGTCATCCCCTCCCCCCCCCTTATGTGGACCCACAGAGCCTGTAAATCTATAAAATTGTATCATCAATCCTAAATATGCCGTCTTAAAAACCCTTAGGATGCCCCGAACTTCGTGGTTTCAATCGCTTATTTTTATGAGGCTGATACAATTTTCGTTTCGTATTTCGCTCCAGCTTTGTGTGATTGTGGTGATGACCCCCCTCTCCACCCCCCCCCCCCCCCCCACCTCAAACCTACCAATTGTCGATACTGATTTATATGTGGCAAAACATCGTATATTCCCAATGATTCCGTTTGTTCATCGTGCAATAGGAAATGCGTGTGTGTATGGGGGGGGGGGGGGGCATTATTCTGTTCCATCTATAGGGTAGGTGTGTCGTGAATGTTCCATAACACTGCTAGTGATATTTTTCAAGCCTTAATTATACTAATGATAAACAGCATTTCTATAGCTCAGAATGGCACGATAAGTAGGGTGATACACGATTTTTTTTGTTGTTCAGCAAAAGGCTTTATATTTATAGTTCAATTTAGTATAGATGTAGCATGCGGATAGTATTGTAGTTGTTATCATCGTTAGTTTATTGAACTAGAAACAACTTGAATCCATTACTAAAAAAACTCGGTTATTCATAGTAATTGTATGAAATGTTGTTTTTATCTGATAATTTTTTCTTTCTTACTCAACAAAACTAAGTACAGTCGCTAAAATGGAAACATTGTGAGAGAAAATAGTCGTAATAAATGTTCTATATTTATAGTATGCTACTGCATTTTGTTCTGGATTGTGAGACGGAGGTGGTGGTTGCGGGGGAAATGTGTTTCAGATACAATAGCAGTCTTACGTAATTTATATAGAGTAGAGATTTGGTTTGGAATTAATATTGTTATGAAACATCACATACATGAGGTTTGATATTACATACTTTGTGTTATATTACTTTGTATAAGACAGAGAAGTTGATGTGTGTTACTGGAACTTCTATAGTGTTGTATAATGTGTGCAGGATCCGTATGTTTGATTCAATACTCAACGGTTTTTTTTTTCCTTAAGGAATCCCCGCAACAAATAAAATTTGAATTGCGTCCCCTTTTGAAAACAACAGGTTATCTCCCTCTTAAGATTTCATCTAAATTATTTCTTCATCCCGAGGCTTTAAAAAATGGCAGAGGAACGCAGCCAGCGCTGATACTTTATACGCTAATCTCCGCGGGCGTTCTAACCGCCCAAAACAACAGTCGCCCGCGCGAATATTTCCTGAAGCCTGGATCAAATTACGGTTAGATTAAAGGCCATTATCCCTGCAATCATCCGCCATCTTTTTAATTAGATTGTAATCAAAGCCATATTCGAGAAATGACGTTGTTAAAGGTTTCAATTTGATAACTTTGTCTGATCAATACGTTTTTGTACAATTTTTTGGTAGAATATTTGGATACAATTTTATGGGAATTCGAGGGTTACTTTGGTTATGTAAAATGATAATTATTTATGCGTTATTTAATAAAATAGTAAGAACTCAATTGTGATTACAAAATTATATTACAATAGATTTAAGAAGGTCCAATAATTCTCAATATTCTATAAATAGCATAAACGAATCAATAGCCCAGGATTTAAGGGGAGATAACGAGTTTAATTTATCATTCGTATTATGGTGCGTCGGATTATGTAAAGGATTAATGGGATTCATCGTTGCTATCTTCCTAATTTTTGCGCAGCCATGAATGTCATTATTTTCTATTCATGCTCGTGTAAACAAAAATCATAATTCCGAAATTGTTTCGTGTAGTTTTGGCATCATTTTCTATCAGCAGTGGTGGTCGTTATTTGTGAGGATAAAATAGAGGGAATCTCGTACAAGGGACGTAACATTTATATCGCTCAATCAACGGTAACAAAGTGCTCCTCACGATATCAGAGTCTCTCACACAATTCTACGATTACATGCTGTAGATTAGGTACTTAAACCACAGTATCGAATATGTGCTTACAGTATCGGATATGTGCTAAAACATAGCATCAAACATGTGCTTATAGTATCGAATGTGCGCTTAAATCATAGCACCGAATATGTTCTTATTACATAGAATGAAATATACGCTCAAAACATGCCACCGAATATGTGCTTACAATGTAGCTATGAATATGTGCTTAAAACATTGAATCGAATATGCGCTTTCAGTATCGAATGTGCGCTTAAATCATAGCACCGAGAATGTGCTTTTAAAATATAGCAACGAATATGTGCTCAAAACGTAGAATCTAATATGCACTTAAAACCTAGCGTGGAATATGTTCCTATAACGTGGAGCTGAATGTATGCATCTCACTGTCTTCTTGTACAGAATGTTCTTGTGTGAGAGTTAGATAAATATCATCATCAACCTCATTAAGGAACTCAAACACAGAGACGATGAATGATTAAAAATTCATAACGGTTCGATTTAATTTTCGTTGTTTTTGTGTTGGCATTGATAGGCAGCGTTAAAAATATTGGCATTGATGTCCAGCGTTAGAAATATTGGCATTTATTGACAGCGTTAGAAATATTGGCATTGTCGGCGTTAGAAATATTGGCATTGTCGGCGTTAGAAATATTGGCATTGTCAGCGTTAGAAATATTGGCATTGCTGGTCAGCGTTAGATATATTGGCATTTATTGGCATCATCATAAATGTTGGCATTGATTGAAAGCGTTAGAAATATTGTGAAACACATATAGTCGAGGCTTTGGCAAAGGGAACTTAATCTATCAACATGAAATCTGACAAAAAAAACCTACTCTGCCAATATATAAACGACCAAAGGGAACCTACTCTGCCAATAAATAGACGAACAAAGGGAACCTACTCTGCCAATAAATAGACGACATGGGAACCTACTCTGCCAATAAATAGACGACAAGGGAACCTACTCTGCCAATAAATAGACGACCAAAGGGAACCTACTCTGCCAATAAATAGACGACCAAAGGGAACCTACTCTGCCAATAAATAGACGACCAAAGGGAACCTACTCTGCCAATATATCGACGACAAGGGAACCTACTCTGCCAATAAATAGACGACCAAAGGGAAACTACTCTGCCAATAAATAGACGACAAGGGAACCTACTCTGGCACTCAATAGACGACAAGGGCACCTACTCTGCCAATCAATAGACGACAAGGGCACCTACTCTGCCGATAAATAGACGACAAGGGAACCTACTCTGCCAATAAATAGACGACAAGGGAACCTACTCTGCCAATCAATAGACGACAAGGGCACCTACTCTGCTAACAAAGACCACTTACTCCCGCCACTTGTAGCCGTCAATGAACGTCTGCAGACACGATTTGATGATCTTCATCTCCCGTTTGTTGACCCTGGTCAACTGCTCGGTGTCAATGTCGGTCAACTTTTTCAAAAACCGCTCCGTCTCGTTCTGGTGAGAGAAATCACGTGTTAGTCTGACGTCACGATGTTAAAACAGCAATATATATATATATATATATATATATATATATATATATATATATATATATATATATATATATATATATATATATGGTTCCATTACAAATTATCTCTGACAAAATATCTCCGACAAAATATCTCACGGACAAAATATATGAAGGACAAACGATATATGGTCATAATAATCAAGTAGGTTTTACCAACATGTAGATAAGGTATTTTTTTTAAATTCTAACTCTACCCCACGTTTCACAGCTAATGATTACAATAAGAAAATTTAACCTAATCAATTTTATTTATTTTAAAAAAAATGGCGTTTAAAAAATGTCAATCCTTTGAAACCACACCTGACAAAAAAAGTTTCAAAAAACCCATCTCGGCAGCTTTTGAAAATTGAGATGGCAGACATCTTTTGTCGGCAACAGCGTAGTGATACGATTTATTACACTCGTTTTATCTGGGATATTAATACGCCAAAAAGAAGGGAAGCTTTATCTTTGTTAACCCTGCATTGCTCGTTAACAAACTTTGTTTTCCTCGCTTTAAGCCGACAAGTTTTTAACCATTTTTGCCGACAAGTTTTTAACAGTTTTTGTTGACAAGTTTTTAACAAATTTTTTCCCTGCTATCGTTTGCTTAAGCAGCTGATTAAATTTCACTTTTCTACACACAGAGAACATGTCTGAGGTACAGGTACCAACATCGATAAAGGCCGATAAGACATAAAGCCGACTTGGTCAAAAGGCCGACATTGACAAAAGGCCATGGTTACAATGGTGGATATGTCATCAAATACGTCACTAAATATGTATAGCAAAAGAGCACATTTAAAAACTTATAACACAAATTAACCATTAGATCACACTGTCAACCAGTAGAACGCATTTTATTTGAATATGTTGTACCTTAGCATGTCTGCCTCATCATGTCAGTCTTATGTCCATGTCGGCCTTATGTCAAGTCGGCCTTTTAGATGTCGGCCTTATTTCCTGTCGAACTTTTGTCCATCTTGCGCTTTTGTCCAGATTGAGCTTTTGTCCATATTGAGCTTTTGTCCATATTGAGCTTTTGTCCATATTGAGTTTTCGTCCATATCGAGCATATGTCCATTTTGAGCTTTTGTCCATATTGAGCTTATGTCCATATTGAGCTTATGTCCATATTGAGCTTTTGTCCATATTGAGCTTATGTCCATATTGAGCTTATGTCCATATTGAGCTTTTGTCCAGATTTGGCTTTTGTCCGTATCCCGATACCCAGGCATTACGCTAGCCAAACGTTAATTAACCTATCGACTCTGTTTTTATAATGAGTACTGTAGATATGCTGCACGTGCATTACTGACCACGAAGGTTTCAATCTCAGGCTGTCGAGTTACAGGGCATTCGTCCTACCGCTCCACCACTCTGCTCCTTCCCTGCTCTACGGATCTACTGAACTTCACATGACTGGCTATTTCAACAATTGGAATACACGCGCCGATTTAAAGTACACTTAACCTTTGACCCTAAAATAGAATGTAGTTACTTCCCATGTCAATTTCTTCCCCCCCCCCCCCCCCCCACCCCACCACCCCCAATTGTACAGTAATTGTACTCGCGGTTCTTCTCCCCAAAACAAAGCCACGCTAACCATCCTTCGCTTTAATAACTAGGTCTATCCCATTTCCAGTCTAACGAACTTCTCCTAGTTCGTACCCCTTTCATCAACTCTCCCCCCCCCCCCCAAAACACTCACACTATATCCAGCCCCCCCCCCCCCCCCTCACCCCTTCCCCACCATCACCTTCCCATCTTAGAATACAAACATAAGACGACATTAATTAAAACCATTTTCCCTCACCCCTCCCTCCCCCTGCATACCTGCTAAAAGAAAACAGCGAATAAACCAAAGTATGATGGCAAATCCAGAGCAGATTATTTCGACTTGATACATCACCGATGTGGGATTGCCGCCCCCTGAAACCCCAGAGAGTTAACGACCCGTGTGTTATGAAATCCATGGGTTGGCCGGAGTTACGGCCCCTGCCACTGGAGGGAGGGTGCGTGCGTGTATCCACCAGCCACGTGACCTGGTCTATCTCTGTCTACCTCGTTTATCTCACATACACTTGTATCTCATTTTTAGCATTTCGTCTTGGTTGTTGCGCTGCATACAATGGCATATAAATACCGCGACCATACGTCACGCTAGAGCTTGGGGCGGGGTGGGGGGGGGGGGGGAATCCATTTAGACATGCCACATCAAGGGCAGTGGCATTTGAATCTATCTCAGGGTGGGTTTTTCAAATCTAAGCGGAAGGTGGTTTTTAAATCTAAGCGGAGGGTGGTATTTGAATCTTTGTGGAAGGTGGTATTTGAATCTAGACATAAGACAAACAGTTCTTGAAAGAGAGGTGGTATTTTACTTTAAATAAACTTCACGACTTAAAATAGTGGTGGTATTTTACGTTAAATAAACATCAAGACTTAAAACAGAGGTGGTATTTTACCTTAGACATAGAGTTCTCGAAAGAGTAGGTGATAGTTTACATGAGAATTGCTTATTTTATACCACATAAATTAGAACTATTTTAAGCACAAATATCATCTTCGTCGTTTTGTTATATACGACATCAACTCTTCATCCTTACAACATGAGACAACTTTGTTATGATTTACAGTAATAAAATGACACGTGTGTGTGTGTGTGAGAGAGAGTGTGTGAGTGTGTGTGTGTGTGTGTGAGTGACTTTCGTGGAAACAAACTTCTCGCTCCACAGCTTTTTGTTTTACACCTGCACGCTCGTTATCTTACACACACGTGCACGCTTGACCGACCTTACAGTTAGCGATATATGTGTGTGCGTTTTTTATCGATACGTCTCACTTACAAAGGGTGAGTATATGTTTACTCCCAGGTTTTAGCTTGTGGTAACCGCCCTCAGAAAAGTTTGGAAACATCTCACTCAGGGGCGTAACACGGGTGGGAATTTTTTTTTTTTTTAAATTGAAAATTCAATGACGTCAGTAAAGAATGAACCACGTGTCAAACGTAGCATAATAAAATATATATTTTTATGAAATTGACCCAAATATGAAGCTGTATTAGTATAATGAGCTGGTTTTTGTGCATTATTTTGTCTGCGCAATCTTGGGTTGAGCATTTTCCTCGTTGCACCATCCCCCCCCCCCCCCTGGAAACTATAAAATAAATAACCACTAGGATAGGCCCATGCAGGTATAAGTATAAATAAGCCAATAATTTAAAAAAAAATAATAAAGTTGTGTCTCAAGACTGGCTGTTTAAAAATAATCTTAGTGATTTATCTTTGACTTCTTTCCTCAGTTAAAAAAACTGATCGAATGGTAATTGCCCCCCCCCCTCCCTCTTAAACGTGTAGAGTGTAGACCAAATAATGTTTTGGGTGTACTAAAAGCTATAAAAATTTGGGTAAAACAATGTATGGGATGGGAGGGGTAGGGGAGGCTACAATGTTGTTTTGTGAAACCAGGCAGTCACGTAGAGAAAACGTTTAGGAACCATCGGTTTAGCGCAACATATTTATGTAATATAGTAGCGCCCTGGGCCTGCCGCACCCCAGCACCACCTAGACTCGCCAATTTATCGTCTTCTTGATTCATAAAAATCGAGTGGAGTTGACCCGAAGGAAGGGAAGAAACTAGAATTTGGAAAAGAAAATTGACGTCAGTTTCTTTTGTGAGAGGATTGGACGGGGAAACCCATATTGCACTGCGCGACTTGAGTTGCCAAATTGCACTGGCCGCTGGGGACAACTTGGCCAACCAGGCGAGAACGTCATTGGGGGAGGGGGGGGGGGAGAAGACCCAAGTTGTCGCAAACAATTCTAGAATTACGGGGAGCTAATTCGTCGTAACTAATTTTAATTAAACAAGATGGCGTAGCTTCGTTCAAAAGTTGGTGCAGTACTGATATTTTTTTCTGCCGGTTGACCATAAAGACAAGTTGACCATAAAGACAAGGTGATTACAAAGTCATGACCATAAATATATGTTGACCATAAAGACATGTTGACCATAAATATATGTTGACCATAATGACAAGTTGACCATAATGACAAGTTGACCATAAAGGCAAGTTGACCATAATGACAAGTTGACCATAAAGGCGATTTGACCATAATGACAAGTTGACCATAAAGACAAGTTGACCATAATGACAAGTTGACCATAAATATATGTTGACCATAAAGACAAGGTGACCATAAAGTCATGTTGACCATAAATATATGTTGACCATAAAGACAAGGTGACCATAAAGTCATGTTGACCATAAATATATGTTGACCATAAAGACAAGGTGACCATAAAGTCATGTTGACCATAAATATATGTTGACCATAAAGACAAGGTGACCATAAAGTCATGTTGACCATAAATATATGTTGACCATTAAGTCATGTTGACCATAAATATATGTTGACAATAAAGATTTGTTGACCATAAATATATGTTGAACATAAAGTCATGTTGACCATAAATATATGTTAACCATAAAGTCATGTTGACCATAAATATATGTTGACCATAAAGTCATGTTGACCATAAATATATGTTGAACATAAAGTCATGTTGACCATAAATATATGTTGACCATAAAGACATGTTGACCATAAATATATGTTGAACATAAAGTCATGTTGACCATAAATATATGTTAACCATAAAGTCATGTTGACCATAAATATATGTTGAACATAAAGTCATGTTGACCATAAATATATGTTGACCATAAAGTCATGTTGACCATAAATATATGTTGACCATAAAGACAAGGTGACCATAAAGACATGTTGACCATAAATATATGTTGACCATTAAGTCATGTTGACCATAAATATATGTTGACAATAAAGATTTGTTGACCATAAAGACAAGTTGACCACAAAGATATGTTGACAACACACCATCGTCACCAGCACTCACCTTTCGTCGGTCAAACGCCTCCATCTTGAAGGACTCCAGCGAGTCGTCGTAGTTATGGTAACCAACGAAGGTCGCGTACTCCGGGAACTCGCGAGACTTGTAGTCGTAGAACTCGTCCAGGATGAGCCGGAACCTCTCGTTGGCGTCCAGGTCTGTGGGGATATAGGGGCAGGGTTACTGATGGATGTGTGGGGGGCAGGGTTACTGCTGGATGTGTGGGGGGCAGGGTTACTGCTGGGTGGAGGGGGGGCAATGTTACTGCAGAGTGTAGGAAGGGGACAGGGTTACTGCTGGGTGGAGGGGGGGCAATGTTACTGCAGAGTGTAGGAAGGGGACAGGGTTACTGCTGGGTGGAGGGGGGGCAATGTTACTGCTGGGTGTAGGGGGTACTGCTGGGTGGGGGCAGAGGGGCAGGGGTGGAGCAATGTGGTGGAGGAGGTGCTCATGTATCCCACACACTTGCACGCTCATCGTTCAAACAAGAACTCACTCATGTTTAAATGTGCCAAATGCGTGAGATATGTCACAACATCTGACAGAAACTATTACAAGTAGTCCAAAATGTAAGTACAGGTCCAAGATGTAGTAAAAATTTTCAAACAAAATTATACACACACATGCATATTAACATTATTAGTTTTCTCAGTGTATGTTTCCTATCATTGACAGGCAGAGCCAGTTTAAAATAGAATCTACAGAAACAAAACAAGTTTAATTTTAAATATTGCTCATATTTTCATATAGAGCAGGAGTGAGATAGCATAACAGGGGGGGGGGGGGGTGAGGGGAGGTTCCTAACGAGGTAAAAATGTCATTGAAATGAATCCAGAGCAATAAGGGAGGGGGGGGGGGAGATGTGCATGCAAGCAAGAGGTCAGGGTGGACATCTTTGATTGTTATTTTATCACGTGACCGACTTTAGGGATGCCATTTTTTCGGGGGGGGGGGGGGGGGGGGGAAGGGAGGGAATATTGGCTGTGTTGGATATAAGATTGGTGTGGCTTAGTTTTTGTGAAGTTTGTTAAAAATAAAAAGTATTGGCTGTTGTGTCTGTAACGATTTCAATGATTGGCTGCGTCGAATAAATGAAAGGCGACATATTGTCTGCATTTTGTAACAGATCCAATGATTGGCTGTTTATTTCCATAGCGATGCCTATAATTGGTTCTATTCTAAAAAGTTTAAGTGGCATTGTTTATTAGACAAGCTCCGAATATAAATAAAGTATCGATACCCTCCCCACGAATACGTGGGTACAAGTAATCGATGAGAATCGAGTTCAAAGAATTTTCTAGCCATCCAGAGAGGGCTTCTGTCAAACGGTGTGAAGACGTCTATTTAAAAATTGGTTTAAGATGTTTGGTTTGACCCCCACAAGACAGGCTGTTTAAAGATTCACTTCAGATATTAGCGTTGACCCCCACTGTTTAAAGATTCACTTAAGATGTTAGGGTTGGCCCCAACTGTTTAAAGATTCACTTCAGATGTTAGGGTTGGCCCCAACTGTTTAAAGATTCACTTCAGATGTTAGGGTTGACTCCCACTGTTTAAAGATTCACTTCAGATGTTAGGGTTGGCCCCAACTGTTTAAAGATTCACTTCAGATGTTAGGGTTGACTCCCACTGTTTAAAGATTCACTTCAGATGTTAGGGTTGGCCCCAACTGTTTAAAGATTCACTTCAGATGTTAGGGTTGACTCCCACTGTTTAAAGATTCACTTCAGAAGTTAGGGTTGCCCCCCACTGTTTAAAGATTCACTTCAGATGTTAGGGTTGGCCCCAACTGTTTAAAGATTCACTTCAGATGTTAGGGTTGACTCCCACTGTTTAAAGATTCACTTCAGATGTTAGGGTTGGCCCCAACTGTTTAAAGATTCACTTCAGATGTTAGGGTTGACTCCCACTGTTTAAAGATTCACTTCAGATGTTAGGGTTGGCCCCCACTGTTTAAAGATTCACTTCAGATGTTAGGGTTGGCCCCCACTGTTTAAAGATTCACTTCAGATGTTAGGGTTGGCCCCCACTGTTTAAAGATTCACTTCAGATGTTAGGGTTGACCCCCACGCGCCAGCAGACGGCTCACGTTTGGTCAGGGGAAGTAACTTGACAACACACAGGGCGATAACCCTGGCTGGCTTGTAGAAAATTGATTTGGTTTTAAATAGACGCAACTGTAAACACAATGGGTGGTCGGGCGTTGACGTATGCAGGACATTTGTTGCTGGAATGGGTGTAGGACATTTGCTGTTGTCATAAGTGTAGGACATTTGTTGTTTGGATATCAAGCTGTCGGAAATTTTGTTGTGAGATGTTATAGATGTAGAAAAATTGATGTTGGATTTACAAGTTGTAGTGCATTGGTTGTTAGGTGTGTCGTATGTAGGATAGTAGATGTTGTAGGTATAGGTTGTTAAATTGGGATGTTGGACGTTGAAAGGAAATTTGATGTTGGATTTGTTGGATGTAGGATAGTAGATGTTGTAGGTATAGGATGTCAAATTGGGCTGTTGGACGTACAACATTTGATGTTGGAGTTCTTGGGTGTAGGATAGTAGATGTTGGATGTTGTAGCTATATGTTATTAAATTGTGCTTTTGATAGTAAACAGTTGTCGGACATTTGATGTTGGGTGCTCTAGGGACAAAACAGGTGTTGAATATACCCAACATTATCGGAGAACATTTATGTTTGTGCATGTAGTTTTTGTCTTGCTTCTTGCATCTCGAAAATACGACATAGGTCCACGTCTCACGACATTTTGTTTGGCTAGGTTAACAAAACAACATTGTCCACATGACAAGTTTAACATAACGACATGGTGTATGACAAGTTTAACATAACGACATGGTGTATGACAAGTTTAACATAACGACATGGTGTATGACAAGTTTAACATAACGACATGGTGTATGACGAGTTTAACATAACGACATGGTGTATGACAAGTTTAACATAACGACATGGTGTATGACAAGTTTAACATAACGACATGGTGTATGACAAGTTTAACATAAGGACATGGTGTATGACAAGTTTAACATAAGGACATGGTGTGTGGATAGTTTAACATAACGACATGGTGTATGACAAGTTTAACATAACGACATGGTGTATGACAAGTTTAACATAAGGACATGGTGTATGACAAGTTTAACATAAGGACATGGTGTGTGGATAGTTTAACATAACGACATGGTGTATGACAAGTTTAACATAACGACATGGTGTATGACGAGTTTAACATAAGGACATGGTGTATGACGAGTTTAACATAAGGACATGGTGTATGACGAGTTTAACATAAGGACATGGTGTATGACGAGTTTAACATAAGGACATGGTGTATGACGAGTTTAACTCACCTTTATAACACAGCCCACAAGACGAATGTACTCACCTTTATAACAGAGCCCACACGAACGCGTGCATTTGTTCAACATCCAGGTGTTCGTGTCACAGTGACCTTGACGGGCCCAGAGCTCACACTGTTCGTTGTTGTCGTGGCGATTAACGCAGTTTTCTGGTGAGTAAAATACGGGATCAGTACGGGATTAGTACAGATAAGCGTACAGACAGCAGGGACAGCTACATGACTTTAAGACAGATGGGGCAGTTTAGTCCATGATAGGGTGAAGGATGACGTAGTAAAAAGTTAGTTTGGAACCTAGGATAAAGACCGTAAACTGCCCCCCCCCCCCTCCATGACCTAACAGACCCAGTGTCCAGATCACGTGATGCGGTGCACTAGGGGAGGGGGGGGGGCAAAAGTCTGGGGGAAACCTAGGTAAAGACTTCATACACGAGTGTGTGTGAGAGAGAGAGACTGAATGTTTGTGAGTGTGTGTGTGAGAGAGAGAGAGAGAGAGAGGGAGAGAGAGTATGTGTGTATGTGTGTGTGAATTTCTATGAATTGATGGGGAAATCTAGCCCTCCTGTGGGAAACCCACGTAATGACTTCATACAAATATGTGAGTGTGAGAGAAAGAGAGTGAGAGAGAGAGTGTGTGTGAGAAAGAGTCTATGAAAAGATGGGGGATCTAGCCATCCTGTGGGAAACCCACGTGACGACTTCATACAAATGTGTGTGAATGTGAGAAAGAGTCTATGAAAAGATGGGGGATCTAGACTCTCCAATACAATGGACTATAATCTGGTCTCTGACGTAGTGAGTCTATCCACTGTGACATCAAAGAACCCGGGGGTGGAGCCAGCTCATGCGATAATCAGTACCCTGTTTATTCTAGCCCAACTCATATTTAAACAATTCACGTTGTTAAATCATAACAAGGGTGTGGCTCGGGTGGGGGGCAAGGGAGATAACAGACCCAGAAGATAGCATATCCGAGTTATTCCACCCCTGGTGTGGTGGTTGGGGGTGGGGTCTTGGGGTGGGGTCATTGGGGTTCTCAAAACATCTGATAATTTTGGTTTGTTTGTTTGTCCACCCCACCCCCACCCCACCTCTGACACCACAGGGGTGTATAATTTCAGGGGAGGTAAGACGTGATAAGAATTTATTAACGACCGGAAGAAGATGTCTGCGCCGGTCAGGAAACTTCCTTTCTTTCTGGGCCAATCTTAAAAACCATTATTTACCTTCCCGTCTGCGTTATTTATCTAAACACACACACACGCACACACACACACACACACAAAGATGGTGTTAATTAATTTCTTTAAGTGTTCTAATTACGAAGTGTTGATTAAAAGTGGTAAATTCTCTAATTAAAAGTGGTAAATTCTCTAATTAAAGGTGGTAAATTCTCTAATTAAAAGTGGTAAATGCTCTAATTAAAAGTGATAAATTCTCTAATTAAAAGTGGTAAATTCTCTAATTAAAAGTGGTAAATTCTCTAATTAAAAGTGATACAATCTCTGATTTAAAGTGGTAAATTCTCTAATTAAAAGTGGTAAATTCTTTGATTAAAAGTGATACAATCTCTGATTAAAAGTGGTAAATTCTCTAATTAACAGTGGTAAATTCTCTAATTAAAAGTGGTAAATTCTCTGATTTAAAGTGGTAAATTCTCTGTGTATATGATCAGGGTATCCGAGTTGTAACCTCCATAATCCCGCAAGTAACTGTAGCCCCTTACTGTTTGTGTTACTCGAGCTGTTTACTTTAAAACTAATTACAACTCCTCTTCTACGGTCATGAAATCCATCACCCTAGTAGCATTGAGTGTATACTTTAAGGAAGGATTAACCAAATAGATTTTTTTGAGCCGGTTAGGGGAGTGGTGGAGGGGTATGATAGTCAAGAAAATCTGGTAAGATATTTGAAAAAGTAGTGCATAAGGATTAACGCTAAACCTAATCTTATTTCTAGCACTGAAGGTAGACACCTATTAGTCCGATTACATTAATTATGTTAAGCATACGCATTAATTACACTTCCGGTAATTGGGAAATGAAGAGTAATCAAATAGATACGACTATATAGCGTGCAGGTAAATCCAGTGTCTGAAACTGTTTCTTAACTGGAGCTGGTGTTGATGCAATGAGTGGCGGTTTACAGAACGCATGAATGGGTGTTTTACTGGTGTTGATGCAATGAGTGGTGGTTTACAGAACGCATGAATGGGTGTTTTACTGGTGTTGATGGGGGTTTACAGAAAGCATGAATGGGTGTTTTACTGGTGTTGATGCAATGAGTGGTGGTTTACAGAACGCATGAATGGGTGTTTTACTGATGTTGATGGGGGTTTACAGAACGCATGAATGGGTGTTTTACTGGTGTTGATTGGGGTTTACGGAACGCATGAATGGGTGTTTTACTGGTGTTGATTGGGGTTTACGGAACGCATGAATGGGTGTTTTAGTGGTGTTGGTGGAGGTTTACAGAACACATGAATGGGTGTTTTACTGGTGTTGATGGGGGTTTACAGAAAGCAGGAATGCCTGTCCTCTTACAGGTGAAATAAAGGCCGCATTTAAATTTACAATGAACTTTAGAAACAAAAAAACTGCCCGTCGTGATAGGCAAAATGGTAGGCGCTCCTTGAAGGTAAAATAACAAACATTTAATTAGGATTAACCCAAATGACCCAGCCTGGACCCATGTTTATTGACACCAGACCCAAGTCAACCAGACCTACCACAATGACCCAGCCTTGACCTTCTGTTATTAAGTAACCCCTGAGCCAGCAGACGTGGGATTAAGATTTATGCTTGACGTGTGATCAGCCTGGCATATGTCGTTACGTAACCATTTGTCAAACCTGTCTAACCCATCTTGTCCTTCTTTAATTTACACCTTGTATTTTCCCCGGGGAAATGTGGAACGGTTTGATATACAGCCGAGAAAGTCTCAGTGGACATTATTCCCTGTGATATTTTGGGCTGTGATACAATGACAAGATAAGGTTTTCAGACTGAGGCGACCCAACGTTGAAATTATCCAATCAGCATTCAGCTTTCCGCGTAGGTGATTTTAATTTTTGCCATGCGCAATAAAATATTCGTTTAATAGACAAGACTAGGTAGGCTTGGACAGGCCTGGACATATCTAGACAGGCCTAGAGAGGCGTAGACATACCTAGACAAGAATTGATATGCGGTTCAATGGGTTCTCAAACCCCATCACCCCAATACCTTATCAGATAGGAGCGGTTCTTATAATATCTAGATCTGTAGGCCACAGGCATGAACTGATACTTTTGGTGGAGCAGTTGACTCCACTGTAGAACCAACTTTTAGAGCCTACACTAACACGACTTCCCACTGAATCAAGCACATAGATCAGGTCTAAGCATACTTTGTTCCCCTGTCTAGACCACCAGCAAGGGAGCTCATCAGATAAAGTTATCCTAAAAATTACGTCCCTTTATCTCCTTGAACCCTTCATGTACACAACAGCGCCATCAGAAGTGTGGCGTGACTACAATCTAATTTTGACATGCGCAGAACGGGGTGCCCAGCATCACACTTTGTAAGCATTTGTCTGACTTGTGTCAGTGTGTAAGTGTATGCGTGTGTGTGTGAGTATGTATGTATGTGAGTATGTGCTGTGTGAGAGACGGCAGATTACTGGAACTTCAGCTTTCATTTTTTAAGGAAAAAAACACTTTCAGATCTGACGATTTACGTGACCCCGGAGTACGAAGCGTCGGCGTTGTATGGTCACCTTATGTGCCCAGCCGCTTTTACTTCCCTGACTTCAGTCAGGTATCTATTTTCATCTATCCCATCATCCCAGTCGTTATTTTCATCATCCCATCATCCCTGTCGTTATTTCCATCTACCCCATCATCCTTGTCGTTATTTTCATCTACTCTATCATCCCCTACTGTCGTTATTTTCATCTACTCCATCATCCCTGTCGTTATTTTCATCTATCCCATCATCCCTGTCGTTATTTTCATCTACCCCATCCCCTACTGTCGTTATTTTCATCCACCCCATCATCCCGGTCGTTATTTTCATCAATCCCATAATATCTGTCGTTATTTTCATCTACCTAAACATCCCTGTCGTAATTTTCATTTATCCCATCATCCCTGTCGTTATTTTCCTCTACCCCATCATCCCTGTCGTTATTTTCATCTACCCCATCCTCTACTGTCGTTATTTCCATCTACCCATCATCCCTGTCGTTATTTCCATCTACCCATCATCCCCTACTGTCGTTATTTCCATCTACCCATCATCCCCTACTGTCGTTATTTCCATCTACCCATCATCCCTGTCGTTATTTCCATCTACCCATCATCCCTGTCGTTATTTTCATCTATCCCATCATCCCTGTCGTTATTTTCATCTATCCCATCATCCCTGTCGTTATTTTCATCTATCCCATCCTCTACTGTCGTTATTTCCATCTACCCATCATCCCTGTCGTTATTTTCATCTATCCCATCATCCCTGTCGTTATTTCCATCTACCCATCATCCCTGTCGTTATTTTCATCTATCCCATCCTCTACTGTCGTTATTTCCATCTACCCATCATCCCTGTCGTTATTTTCATCTATCCCATCATCCCTGTCGTTATTTTCATCTATCCCATCATCCCTGTCGTTATTTTCATCTATCCCATCCTCTACTGTCGTTATTTTCATCTACCCCATCCCCTACTGTCGTTATTTTCATCTATCCCATCATCCCTGTCGTTATTTTCATCTATCCCATCATCCCTGTCGTTATTTTCATCTACCCCATCATCCCCCGCTGTCACGACCCCCTCTCATCTGACTACTATCAACGTGCTTGTATCGAGCGTAATTGCCTCCCCCCGGGCGCCCTCCACCCCCCACATATTAAGACCGCCAGTTAATGGCTACGCCCCCTACCCCTCCACAACTTGTTGTCGACGACTGAGGTACAATGGCGCCTGCTATCTCGTCTGAGAGCGCCATGAAGACGAGTAGGCTAAAAATAAACTTATCAAAAATGTCCGTCAATATGGTGTTAATTGGAGAGATATAAGCGAAAAGGGGAGGGGGTAAGGGGAGATGAAAATGGTGGGGTGGGGCGCTAGATAGAATTGAAAGTTTTATGTAAACAAGTTCACCTTCAATAG